CTCCATTTCTCCCAGTCACCAATATTTACACCTCATTTGATTGAGTGTGCTGCTACAGCAAATCACAACCTTCCCTGTGGAATAGAAACTAACCAGACTACCTAACAGTAGATGAGAAACTTTCTGGTCGGTATGGACTAACTGGAATTGATCTGTAGAAGCCTCCTACCTTGGGGCCGGTGCTGTGGCATAGAGGGTAAAGCTGCCACCTGCAGGGCCGGCATCCCATGTGAGTGTCAGTTTGATCCCGGCTGCTCCACTTCCGATCCAGCTCTCTGCTATGGCCTGGAAAAGCAGTAGAGGATGGCCCAAGTCCTAGGACCCTGCACCCACATGGGAGACCGGGAGGAAGCTCCTGGCTCCTGGCTTCAGATCGGCACAGCTCTGGCTGTTGTGGCCAATGAGTAAACCAGAGGATGACAGAAGACCTCTCTGCCTCGCCTCTCTCTGTGTAACTCTGACTTTCAAATAAATAAATTAAAATCTTTAAAAAAAAAAAAAAAACTGTCTACCAGGTGGCATAGAAACTTACTGGAGGTGTGGGTAGGCTTGGGGGAGAGAGGAAGCAGTTTAGGAGGGCCACTGGGTCTTGCATGCTTCTCTTGGTTGAGGTGCACGCCAGGGGGAAAACATACAGAGCATGAGAACACCAACGAGAAACGGCCCTTTTTTCTTACTACAGTTTTGCAGGGAACTGTAAAGGAGAAATGTTTTTAGCATACAACTCCAGTATCACGAAGCAAAGCAAGGCAAAGAAGTGGTGATTCAAAGTTAAGACAATAAACTGATCACTGCACTTTCGGTTTTCTCTGTTGTGTTGACTTCCATTCCTCTCTCTCTCTTTTTTTTTTTTTAACTTATGTTGGTTTAACTTATTCTTTTTCTGTTTTTAAGGTTAAAAGGTAGCTCTTGGATTCTTTTCCTAATAAAGCACTGAAAGCTATTCGTTTTCCCCTAAGAACTATTTTATCTGAATCCTGTAAATTCCAACATATTGCGTCCTATTATCTTTCAGTTATAAATATTTGCTACTCTTGCTATTCATTTCAATTTAATTGTGTTGAGGTGAAGAAAATATATTCTGCAAGACTACAGTTCCTTCAAGTTAACTGATATCTATTTTATGGCCGAGTGTTGTCTATCTTGGTAAATGTTTCATGTGCACTAGAAATGAATGTGTGCTCTGTAGTTCATGGAAGTATTCTACAAATATCAGTTATATTATCAAGTTAAATAATAGTGTTCACATCACTTACAGTTTTATTTTTGTATATTCTATTAATAAAAGAGGGGTATGAAAATCACTGAATTTATCGATTTCTTCCTTTATTTCATCAGTGTCAGATATGTATTGTGAAGTTATTAGTAGCTACATAAACATTTATAATAGTTACAATTTCATCATGTGAAGCTTTCATATTTTTGGCATGAATTCTTTTGTCTGCTACTAATGTGGTTCACTGCCTTCTTATTCTTACTGTTGCATGGTATATCTTTCATAGTCATTTTAATCACTTTCTTCATATTTTTAAGTGTCTCCTATAATTTTTTTACAGATTAATTTATTTACCTGAAAGTCAGAGTTACCAGAGAGAGAAAGAGAGGCAGAGAGAGAGAGAGAGGTCTTCCATCTGCTGGTTCACTCCCCAATTGTCTGCAATGGCTGAGCTGCCCCGATCCGAGGCCAGGAGCTTCTTCTGGGTCTCCCACACAGGTGCAGGGCCCCAAGGACTTGGGCCATCTTCTACTGCTTTCCCAGGCCACAGCAGAGAGCTGGATCAGAAGTGGAGCAGCTGGGACTTGAACTGGCGCTCATATGGGATGCCGGCCCTGCAGGCAGCAGCTTTACCCACTACACCACAGCGCCGGCCCAAGTGTCTCATATAATTAATATATAGTTGATTTCTGCTTTTTCAATACAGCCTGACAACCATGGCTTTTAAATGGAAAGTATAAAGTACACTATTTACGTGCATTGTGGTTATTGATATAGTTTGGTTCAGATTTACCATCTTGGGTGTGTGGCTCTGTGTGTGTGTGTGTGTGTGTTGCACACCTCTTACATTCTTTTTGTTTCCCCTATTTGTCTTAATTTGAATGATCAAAAATTGTTCACAGTCTGTTTTAAACTCCTCTATTTACTTTTTAGCTATAGATTTTTATGTTATTTTAGATCACAGTATGCATTATTATCTATCTACCTTCAAATACTGAATTACAATTGGATAATGTAAAAACTCTATGTATTCATCTATTTACCTTCCTCCCATCTTGTATAACCTTGTTGCATATTTTATATGATTTAGCAGCTCTATAATGTTGGTATTATCTCCTCTAATTCCCTGTTTTTAGTTGGTTTAACAGTGTATTAGAGAAAACTATGAATCAGGCAATTGGCAGAGCAGTTAACGTACCAACTGGGATGTCCACATCCTATATTGGACTGCCTGGACTCAAGTCCTGGCTCTGTTCCTGATTCTGGTTTACTGCTGAAGTATACCTGGTAGGCAGCAAGTGATGACTCATGTAATTGAGTCTTGTGCCAGCCACATCAGAAATATGGATTCAGCCTGGCCCTGACCCAGCCATTGCAAGCTTTTGGGGAGTGAACCAATAGACAGGAGATCTCTCAGTCTCTCTCTGCCTCTCAAATAAAGTAAGTAAATAAAAATAAGTAGGGGCTGGTGATATGGTGCAGTGGGTTAAACTGCTGCCTCCAGTGCCGGCATCTCATACTGGGGCCAGTTCAAGTTCCAGCTGCTCTGTTTCTGATCAAGCTCTCTGCTAATGTGCCTGGGAAAAGCAGTGGAAGATGGCCCAAATGCTTGGGTCCCTGCACCCACATAGGAGACTCGGAAAAAGCTCCTGACTTTGGCCTGGCCCAGCCCCGACCATTACAGTCATTTGGGGAGTGAACCAACAGATGCAAGATCTCTCCCTCTGTTAACTCTGCCTTTCAAATAAAATAAATCTTTAAAATATATATAACTAAAATTTTGAAAAAGATGGTCTTTTATATTCACCCATTTAGTGCTCTTCCTTTTCCCCCTGGAAATTATTCATTTAGAATAATTTCCTTTCATCCATCAGAACTTCCCTTAGCAAAATGTGATGATATGAGTGGAACTGACATTTCTGAGATTTAATTATTGTTTACAGCTCTTGTTTATATTCTTGAAGAACAATAGATTTTCTACTTACTACTTGTTGAATTACTTATTTGTTGGAGGGTTAAGCTTGTGATTATAAAACAAACTGAAACCATGTCATTGTAAAAATTAAAAGAAAAAATAAAGAGGAGGGAGCAAAAAGTTGGAAGTATCATTGTGCTCTGAATTCTATATTTGAAATACATGAGATGTATTCACTTTATATAAATATTTTTTAGTCTGCTGGAAATTAATTATCTCAGTTTTTGTCCATCTTAACATTCCCTATGTTTTTTTTAAAGAATATTTTGACTAAGTTAACATGGTTTTCTGGGCTCTTTAAAGATATCTCTCTGTTGCATTCTACAACTATATATTTCTGATAAGAAACCAACCAATATTGTTGTTATGGCTCCCCCTGAATATAGTCTGTCTTTTCCTCTGCTCTGTCTGCTAATACATTTTTCAGTAGTTGTCTTTCAGTTATTTGACATATTTAGGTATGATTTCCTTTGTGTTGATATTGCTGAGGTTTGTTGAGCTTCTTGGTGCTATGAGTTGATATCTTTTTTTTTTTTTTTAAGATTATTTATTTGAAAGGCAGAGTTACAGAGAGGTAGAGGCAAAGAGAGAGAGAGGTTGGTCTTCCATCCACTGGTTCACTCCCCAGATGGCTGCAATGGCTGGAGCTGCACCCATCTGAAGCCAGGAGCCAGGAGCTTCTTCCATGTCTTCCCATGCTAGTGCCAGGGCCCAAGGACTTGGGCCATCTTCTACTGCTTTTCTACGCCATACAGAGAGCTGGATCAGAAGTGGAGCAGCCAGGACTCGAACTGGTACCCATATGGGATGCCAGCACTGCAGGTGGCAGCTTTACCCACTATACCACAGCACCGGCCCCAAAATAAATAATTTTTGAAAAATAGTTGTGAGGGCCAAAGTTGTGATGCAGCAGGTTAAGCCACTGCCTTTGACTTCTGGCATCCAAATGTCAGAGCACTGGTTTGAGTCCTGGCTACTTCTGATGCAGCTCACCATTCATGCATGTGAGAAAGCAGTAGAGGATGGCCCAAGTGCATGGGCCCCTGCCACCCTTGTGGAAGACACAGATGGAGTTCCTAGTTCCTGGCTTCAGCCTGGCCCAGCCTGGGTCATTGTGGGCATTAGGGGAGTGAAACAGCAGATGGAAAATCTCCTTCTGTGTCTCTCCCTTTCTCTACCACCCTGCCTTTTAAATAAATAATTTAAAAAAATAAATAAAAGTAACTGCTATAATTATAATTACCAAGTTTTTCAGTTTTAATCAGAAACAAGATATTTATACTTTCATACACACACACACACACACACACACCCCAACACCAACAAAATAGTTTATGTTATATTAACTATTAAAGCCTTGTTAAAGACCGGTTCTTAAAATCAAGAGACATAAGTGTCGGGTGTTGTGGATCTCTGTGAACTTAGACAAGTCTCTAAACTTTTCAAATAACGTTATCTACAAAATGAAGATACTAATGAAAGTATTAAACTCTGAGTTTGTTTTGAGGATCAAATGATATAGTATGAAGTATAAGTAAATTGAAAAAGCAAAGTGCTATACCGGCACACTTTGTGTAAGACATAGTTTTGAACATATTGCTAGATTGTCTATTGTCTAGGATAATGCCTGGAATCTAGTGGGCATATATTTGTTATTTATACATTTTTGAATTATTATGTGTTTTCTTCCTGAATATTTGGTTTGATTATATGTCTTTTGATAAGTAGAGTTTGAATTTTTCACCTCTTATGAAAGAAAAATTAATTATTAGAACTAGTGTACATTGTCACCTCTTTCTCTTGTTTTAGGAATGGAACATTACTAGGCTCTCAATTGAGTATGATTCTGAGCCTTTTGGGAAAGAACGAGATGCAGCTATTAAGAAACTGGCTTCTGAAGCTGGAGTAGAAGTCATTGTACGAATTTCACATACATTATATGACCTGGACAAGTAAGTTCCTTTTGTTTGTTTTTTTATTATAGGAAAATATACATAATGTAACATTTACCATCTTTCTCATTTTTAAATGTACACTTCAGTAGAGTTAAGTATATAAGCACATAAGTTTTAACTTAAGTTTGTAAAATGGAAATAATGGCATAGACAAGTACATCATGTAGTTATGGGAGAATATAGTTGTGGGAGAATTAAATGAATATATGTTAAACCTTTAGCATTTTATTTAGATGCTGTGAGTTTTATTTGTTGACAGGTATAAAAATTATAGAAACAGTGCATAAGATTAAAATATTCAGCTCTTCAGTTTCAAAACTATTATTGATTAATCCAGCTTCCCTAATGTATATCTTGGGAAATAGCATGTGTTGCCTCAAGGACTTGGGTCCCTAACACCCATGTTGGGAACTCTGACTGAGTTATGGAGTCCTGGCTTCAGCCTGGCCCAGCCCTGACTATTGTGGACATTTGAGGAGTGAACCAACAGATGGAAAATCTTTCTGTATGTTTCTGCTTCTTCCTCTCTGTCTGTAATTCTACCTCTCAAATAAATAAATAAAATCTTAAAAAAAAAAAAAAAGGAAAAGACTACTGCAAATTTTCCTTTACTCCTCTAACTCAGCCTACTGTGGGCTCGCCTTTCTGATCTCTTTGCCTTACTAGTTTTATAGTAAGTTGCCTTAAGAGTTGTCTTACTGTACTTCATGAGTGCGTAACTTGCTTCTCTCTCTGGTTTTTAAATCCAGGTGACACTTGAATGTGATATAACTTTGCATAGCTGTACTCCTTTGAACAATGATGTAATGTAATATTTCTCAGTTGTTTCTTAAAACACCAGTCCCTGTTGATGCTTTTTCCAACAGAAAATGTGATCAATTGGAAGTCGAAGTATTATATGCTGTGGAATTAGGAAGTTTGTAAGATTTGTTAATTTACAGAAACTTTTGGTATAGAGTCATTTTAATGACTACTAAAATCTTATAACTTACTTACCTTTAAAATTGTTTTGGAGCCCAGTGTGTGGCACAACAATTTAAGCCACCACTAGCAATGCTGACATTCCATGTCAGTGCCAGTTGGAGTCGTGGCTACTCTGCTTCCCATCCAGCTTCCTGCTAATGTATCTGAGAAGGCAGTGTAGGATAGCCAAGTACTTGGGCTCCTGACACCCATGCAGGAGACCAGAATGGAGTTCCTGGCTCCTAGCTTCGGCCTGGCCCAGACCTGGCTGTCATGGCCGTTTGAGAAATGAATCAGCTGATGGAAGATACCTTTCTCTACCTCTATTTCTGTCTCTGTGTGTCCCTCCATCCCTCCCTTCCTCCCTCCCTCTCCCCTCTCTCTGTTGCTCTTTCAATCAATCTTTTTTTTTTTTAGGATTTATTTATTTGGAAGGCAGAGTTAGAGCGAGCACACATTTCATTTGCTGATTCACTCACCAAATGGCTGCAATGGCTGGAGCTGAACCAACCTGAAGCCAGCAGCCAGAAGCTTCTTCTAGTCTCCCACATGGGAGGGGCCCAAGAATTGGCACCATCTTCTGCTGCTTTTCCCAAACCATTAACAGGTAGTTGGACTGGAAGTGGCAGCCAGGACTCAAACTAGCACCCATATGGGATGCTGGCACTGGAGGTGGTGGCTTTAAACACTATGCCACAGTGCCAGCCCAAGGTAAATAAATCTTTTAAAAATAAAATGAAATTATTTTTAGTTATTTACACATTTTATCAAGTTAAACTAATTTTATAAAGTGATAAACTAGTCACTTTTAGTCTATGTCTCCAAGTGTATCAAAAAATCATGTTTGGATTCAGTCAGGAATCTTCCTTGATATTATTCTACAAGTCATTTGAGAGTACTGCAAAAATGTTATAAAAATATAATTAAAATATGGTTGTTTTGGTGCAAAAAATGAAATCTGTGTATATGTGGAAGCTTCAAAGTGTTCATGAAAATGCATATTATGAAAAATTGCATAGATGTAAAAAATTTTTGCACCAAAAATTTTAATTCCATTTTTCTGTGAATTTTTTGAAGTTCCCTCATGTATCTTTGGAAAATAAACTTCCTATCTAGTGTACCAGTTTGCTTAACTTTAGGGAGCTGATGGCAAGGAAAGGACAAAACAGTGTAAGAGCAGTTGATTTCTAGGTGGAAGATTCAATATTATGCATAAAATTAGTGTTTATTGGATTAAATGTGAATATTTACTGTATGTCATATCATAACAAAGTTTGACTTTTTAATTTTTTTTAATTTATTTATTATTGGAGAGGCAGAGTTACAGACAAAGAGAGGGAGAATTAGAGAGATCCTGCATCTGCTGGTTCACTCCTCAGTGGCCACAATGGCCAGAGCTGGGACAGTCCAAAGCCAGGAGCCAGGAGTTTCCTCCAGGTGTCCCACGTGTGTACAGAAGCCCAAGCCCTTGGGGCCGTGTTCCACTACCTTCCCAGACCATTAGCAGGGAGCTGGATCAGAAGTGGAGCCACCGGGACTTGAACTGGTGCCCACATGGAAGCCAGCTACCGCAGGCAGTGACTTAACCTGCTATGTGACAGTGCCAGCCTCAAGGTTTAACTTTTAAAAAATATTTTTTCTTACATTTTCTTTTTGCTATTGAAATGTAGTGAACATTGTCCTCTGTAGTATCACTGCTGTATCATTACAGTCAATAAAATTATTGTGATCCAATGTATAAACTCAAAATATTACATTTAATTTAAATAAAGATAATTTACTTTAAAGCAGGAGAAGATAAGCTTTTTTGTTGATTACTTTCTATACATGCATCTGATACATAATTACACAAAGTATAATGAAAAATACACTGTATTTGAACTAAGAAAATCTTGATATGTCATTTATCAGTTATGTGACCTTGATTAATTTGCTCAACTCTTCTGGTAGGCTTCAGTGTCTAGCTCTATAAAATGATGGAATTGAACTTTACCTCTGATTCTTTTTTAAGGCCAAAGGCTAAGCAAATGAAAAAGAATAGTTATTCCAAAATACTGTCTAATCTAGACCATCATTGGCAAAGCTAGTTATTCTCTTTTTAAAGTATTACTTGGGGGGGGGAGGCTGCGCTGTGGCATAGCAGGTAAAGCCACTGCCTGCAGTGCTGGCATCCCATATGGGTGCCAGTTCGAGTCCCAGCTGCTCCACTTCTGATCCAGCTATCTGCTATGGCCTGGGAAAGCAGAAGAAGATGGCCCAAATCCTTGGGTGCCTGCACCTGCATGGGAGACCCGGAGGAAGCTCCTGGCTTCGGATCAGCGCATCTCAAGTCATTGCAGCCATCTGGGGAGTGAACTAGCGGATGGAAGACCTCTCTCTCTCTGCCTCTCCTTCTCTATATATAACTCTGACTTTCAAATAAATAAATAAATCTTAAAAAAAAAAATAAAGTATGACTTGGTTGAGGCAATTAGAAGTGAGTAGTAAATATAAAAGTTACTTAAATCTAAGTAAGTTGAAATTTTGGGCCTTATGTGTGGTAAGAACAATAGTAACCCCCTTATTCTCAGGGAGTACATTCCAACACCCTAATGGAGCCTAAAACTACACATAGTACCGGCCCCTAAATATACTGTTTCTGTTTATATACTTATGATAAAGTTTTATTTATAAATTATAAGGCATGAGATTAATGAGTAATGAAATAGGACAATTATACTGTAATAAAAGTTTTGTAAATGTGTCTCTTTCTTTCTCACTTGAATTGATTAATATTTTTGGCTGAGGTTGACCACAGGTGTCTAAAACTACGAAAAGCAGAAGTGTAGATAAAAGGAGACTACTGTATGTGGGCTATTGTATATGCTATAGATATAAATTATGATATCTTTTTAAAGATTTTTTCATTTGAATGACAGAGATCGTGGGGGAGGATGTGGGGAGAGAGAAAGAGGGAGATCAGACTTCCATCCACTTGTTCACTCCCCACATGCCCACAACAGCCTGGGTTGGCTCAGGGAGAAACTAGGAACCTGGAACTTAATCCTGGTCTCCCACATGGCTGGCAGGGAGCCAACCACCTGAACCATCACCTGCTGCCTTCCAGGGTGCATATTAGCAGGAAGCTGGAATTAGAAGTGGAGCTGGACCTGAACTCAAAGACTCTGGTATGAGATGTGGGCGTCACAAGTGGCAACTTAACCGCTGCATCATTTACCTCGGATGCCTTTCTCTTTAGTGAAGGAGTGGGCACATAGCAAGTAATTGTCACTCCAGTAATATAAAATCCTAATTAGTGAAACCTGCTGAGGAAAATGGGGAGACATAGGTCAAAGGATATAAATACCAGGCATGTAGAATGAACAAGTATAGAAATACATACCATGAAGGTTAGTTAATAAAATACTATGTTTGAGATTTTTGTTAAATGAGTATGTTTTAGCTGCTCTTGTTACAAAAAAGGTAACTGACATTGTAGATACATTAATCTGGTTTACCCTAAGTAACCATTTACCCTCTATGAAGGGACTTCAAAAAGTTCATGAAAAATGGAATTTAAAATAAAAAATTTTTGAAGTCCATGCATTTTTTTTCATGATATACATTTTCTGTGACTTTTTTGAAGACTCCCTTCATATATGTATTCCATAGCTTCAGCTTCATGTTGTAAATGTAACATACATACAATAAAGTTTATTTTTTTTTTAAAAAAAAGGTAAGACTTATGATTACTCCTTGCTATAATTATCAGCCTAATTTAGTTTTTAGACTTTACTTATGAGACAGAGAGAGAACTCACATGTGCTAGTGGTTCACTAACCAAATGCCTGAGAGCTGGAAACACAATCCAGATTTCCCACCTGGGACGTAGCAGCCTAACTACTTGAGCCAGAGTACACATTAGCAGGAAGCTGGAATCAGGAGCAAACCAGGCCTTGAACCCAGTACCTTTTTGTTGTTGTTATTGATAAATATTTATTTACTTATTTGAAAGTCAAGGGTTACAGAAAGAGCTTCCATCTGCTGGTTCTCTCCCCAGATGGCTGTAATGGCCTGGGCTGGGCCAGGCTGAAGTCAGGAGCCAAGAGCCAGGAGCTTCTTCCAGGTCTCCCACATAGATGGTAGAACCCAAACACTTGGGCCATCTTCCACTTCTCCTTCCAGGCCATTAGCAGGGAGCTGGATTGGAAGTGGAGCAACTGGGACCAAGCCAGTACCTTTATGGGATGCCTGCATCACAAGTGGTGGCTTTACCTGCTTCACCACAGTGCCTGCCCTATGTTGTTTGGGATGCCTTAACCAGCATCTTAACTGCACACTGATTTAATTTTTATTGATGATTGAAGAATTCCTTGAGCTTGGTTGTAATATGTTTTTCACATGTCCACATGTGTTAAAGTTTTTGTTATAGGGGCCAGCATTGTGATGGGTTAAGCCACTGGTGGCAATGCAGGCATCCAATATGGGTCCTGGTTTGAGTCTTAGCTGCTCCACTTCTGATCCAGTTTCCTGCTAATGTGCCTGGGAAAGCATCAGAGAATGGCTCAAATGCTTGGGCTCCTATATTAAAGTAGGAGACTAGGAAGAAGCTCCTGGCTGCTGGCTTTGGCCTGGCCCAGCCCTAGCCATTGTGGCCATTCAGGGAGTGAACCAGTGGATGAAAGACCTCTTTGTTTCTTTCTCTCCCTGTCTGTAACTCTGCCTTTGAAAGGAATAAAATAAATCTTAAAAAAATGTTTTTGTTATTGTTTTTAGGCTACTATAGCTGCTTGATTTTTTTCACTCATAAGTCGTTAGTACTCTTCATCTTAAAGGTTATGGTATTTGCATAGTGTATACTTTTGACATCTTGCAGATATCTACAAAATGAAGAAAATGTGTTTTAGACTCATTAACTATTTGAATACATTTCCTGGTCATGTAAGAAATTGTCATTCTATTAGAACTCTTATGTGATTAATTATTTTCTGATTTTAAGCCTTTTTTAGAGCTCATCACACCAATGTATCTTATATTAACTGCTCTTTATTAACTCTTATAACAGGATCATAGAACTCAATGGTGGACAACCGCCTCTCACTTATAAAAGATTTCAGACTCTCATCAGCAAGATGGAACCTCTAGAGATCCCAGTGGAGACAATTACTTCAGACGTGATAGAAAAGTGCACAACTCCTGTGTCTGATGACCATGATGAGAAATATGGAGTCCCTTCCCTGGAAGAGCTAGGTGGGTGTGAACTGTAATAAATGTGGAACTTAACAGTTTGTAAGTCATAAATGACTCATAAAATTTTACCTCTGATTTTTCCACATGAAGTATTAATACATTAAAAGGGAAACAGTGAGGAGGGAAAGAAGGAAGAAGAAAACTGCTAAACTAAGAAATGATAATGCTGTAGTTATTTATGTGCTCTCTCTATATCTGTTGCTATCACCTTAAGATGTACATCCTAAAGAACAGAGACTATGTCATAGCATCTCTCCAGGCCCTCAATTCGCTTAGGCTGTTCTCATAATTTTTCTGCAAAATAATTGTTTTCACAACTGTGATTAAATAAAAAACGTTTTAGTTCCAGAAAATTGATTATTTGTTTTTTTTTAGGTTTTGATACAGATGGCTTATCTTCTGCAGTGTGGCCTGGTGGAGAAACTGAAGCACTTACACGTTTGGAAAGGCATTTGGAAAGAAAAGTATGACAATCTAGATCATCTAGCCATGTTTTATTTTCAAGCTGGCATTTTAAAAATAATTTCATTCTCTTTTAAAAACAAAAAGTAGAATGTTGAAAAAGAAGAGTTCAGGGAAATAAAGTTACATAAACCTAAGTATTTGAAAATTAACTACCTCATTTAAATGCCCTTTCTCCTGTTTTTCTGATTATTTTTCTTGGTTATTTCCTATCTTTCTACTGAACCTGGTTTCTGATGACCATAATTTTGGAATTAGAATAGAATCCTCTGTTAACCTCAGTGGGCAGTGGAAGGTAATCTCAGGCATGTGTTGGGAGTTTGAAGGTGATGTGTTTCACATGAGTCTGTGCTGCATGATAATTGAAATGAAAGAATACTTGCTTTTCTTCCATGTTTAATAAACATATGTAACTTGTGGCTTGGATAATAAATTATTCCCAGAGAACTGGGTAACTTTTGTTAAAAAAAAAATCTGTTTTGAATACTGTGTTTAAGTGGGAAAGACAATGTGATCTTTGTGTGTTTTCAGGCTTGGGTGGCAAACTTTGAAAGACCTCGAATGAATGCTAATTCCTTGCTTGCAAGCCCCACTGGGCTCAGTCCTTATTTGCGATTTGGCTGTTTGTCATGTAGACTATTCTACTTCAAACTGACAGATCTCTACAAAAAGGTACTTTTTAAAATCAGTGCTTACCTTTCAAAATACATTTTTAAAACTTGCTGATAATACTTCTTTGCCTTTTAATCATAGGTAAAGAAGAACAGTTCCCCTCCTCTTTCTCTTTATGGGCAGCTATTGTGGCGTGAGTTTTTCTATACAGCAGCAACAAATAATCCACGCTTTGATAAAATGGAGGGAAACCCCATCTGTGTTCAGATTCCTTGGGATAAGAATCCTGAGGCATTAGCCAAATGGGCTGAAGGTCAAACAGGCTTTCCATGGATTGATGCCATCATGACACAGCTTCGTCAGGAAGGGTGGATTCACCATTTAGCCAGACACGCAGTTGCTTGCTTCCTGACACGAGGTGACCTCTGGATCAGTTGGGAAGAAGGCATGAAGGTAAGTGTTCTAAGAACTGTAGCCAGGTCTTTGAAGGAACTCTAGATGTTGTATATTGTACAGATTCATTTATAATCTAGTGTTTCAGTGAATAAAACTTTTAATCACCACAGTATAGGCATACTTTTGGACAGCAGGATGGTATAATCAGACAGGAGAAATGCTGAAAACTGGCTAAGACAATAGACCTAAACTCATTTAAATGTTTAAAGCAGGCTGTGATTTAAGAGAACTGTAAGATTTAGCATTCTGGAGTTATCGTGTAGATATACTTATATGTATTCATTTCTGTCACAAAAAAGATTTGCCTAAGAATTCTCAGAAATAGTGAATTTATATTATAAATCTTAGAATGTAAATCATTTCACCTTACTTCAACATTGTAACTTTTTAGTAATATTTCTGTTATGTAAAGTGAAACATACTGTGTTTTATGATATCATATTGTGGTTTTATGTAACAGGATTTACAAATATGTTCTCCCTTTCTGACATTATTATAAATTTTCCCTATCTAAGGACCAATTTTGAGCCTTTTTTTACATCTCCTTTATTTCCTTGTACAAAATTGTATATAAAGATGTGTAGCAAAAACTTAGTCAATTTATAATCATTTATTTAACTCTATTTTTTGAATCAAGAAATTTAAAACTTAAATTGTGTAATATTAGTACATTTTTAAAGTACATTTGTATTTAAGTGTGCTCCCTTTATCTAGGCCACTATGCCAAGCTTCTAAGTTTTTGTTGGTGATTTATTTGGTAGTGGTTTTGCTTTTTTGAAAGTGGTTTACTGTTTTTTCTCTGTTAATATCCTATCTTTTAAACCAGTGACTCTAGTAATTTTTTTACCCTTCCCCCAGTAACACTGCAAGGATTGGAAAAGTAAATTCTCTAATCTATATTACCAATATTTTTCTTTCCCTGCTATTCCTCATTATAGAACAAACAAGGAAGCTAACTGGAATGTTTTGATTTTACAGTTTTGTGCTAATTTTCTTTGCCTTGACTTTTGATCTACAGTGACCTCAAAAATGCTTGCTTTGAGAATTATGTGTGTGCAAACTAATTGGTTACTGTTACTTCTGAAGGTATTTGAAGAATTATTGCTTGATGCAGATTGGAGCATAAATGCTGGAAGTTGGATGTGGCTATCTTGTAGTTCCTTTTTCCAACAGTTTTTTCACTGCTATTGCCCTGTTGGTTTTGGTAGGAGAACAGATCCCAATGGAGACTATATCAGGTAAATCAAGGGTTATTACTCAGTTTGGAATAGCTAATCCAGAAGAGCTTTTCATGTTTAAGCAACACTTTAAGTATTCCCCTCTCAAGATGGGCAGCAGAAATAAGGAGAAGGGTAAACAAATCATTTAAATGGTATTGATTTGATTTTGGTCACTGATAGCTGGTAGTTTCTTACAGTTTGCTCATAGTACATTTTATTAATAATTTTTCTTCCTTTTCCCAAAAGGCGTTATTTGCCTGTCCTAAGAGGCTTCCCTGCAAAATATATCTATGATCCCTGGAATGCACCAGAAGGTATTCAAAAGGTAGCCAAATGTTTGATAGGAATTAATTATCCTAAACCAATGGTGAACCATGCTGAGGCAAGCCGTTTGAATATTGAAAGGATGAAACAGATCTATCAGCAGCTTTCACGATACCGAGGTCTAGGTATGTTGATAGTTGCCTTTGATTTGTTGTTTGGGCAGCTGTTTCTGTATTTACTCTTGATTTTGATCTTGATCATAATTTGATAGGATTTTTTTTTCCCTGTTCAGGTCTTCTTGCATCAGTACCTTCTAATCCTAATGGGAATGGAGGCCTCATGGGATATTCTCCTGGAGAAAATATTCCAGGTTGTAGCAGCAGTGGAAGTAAGTGAAAAAGAAATTATTGTACTTCATCACATAAATAGATTACCTATAACAATCTGTCTTTAAAGTTAATATAATAGGTCTATACCCATGCACACACACACATCACCTCACTCTGTTGGTGACATTTTAGAAATGGAAAACATTACATGTAGTAAATACTTAGATCAAGTTAAAGATCTTGCAAACTGGATGTGGACAATGATTTTAAGGGTAAAATGAAATTCGCAACTCTTATTTTCAGAATGTTCATTATTTTTTATTCTCTTTGGGTGTGTACCAGCTATAAGGAAATTAGTGAAGGTCAGTGACCCTGTAAAAATCGTCAAGAGATGTATCATATTCATGCACAGAGCATCTAGTCCTTTTATATATGGGGTTTTTTTCTTACAAAGTCTGGTCTGTGATAGTTTTCTGTATGATATATATTTAGTACCAACTAAATCCTTTAAAAAAAAAGTTATTATTTTAAACACAGAGTGACAGACAGGGAGGGAGGTAGGAAGGGACAGAGATACAGATTTTCCATCCATTGATTCTCTCCCCAAATGGCCTGTGGGCCAGACCAAAGCCAGGAGCCTAGGACTCCATCCAGGGCTCCAATGTAGGTCCCAGGAGCTCATGTACTTGGGCCACCATCCACTGCTTCCCAGGTACATTAGCAGGGAGCTGGATTGGAAGCATAGTAGTAGGGATTCAAACCTGTGCTTCAGTATAGGATGGCAACATCGCAGTTGGCCATTTAACCTGCTGTACCTCAACACTGGCCCTATCGCGTAAATTCTTAATATATGTGACATTATTAATGTTAAATTGGTATGTATTGGAAATTTGAATCATTATGTCAGGAACTTCTTTCGGGTCTCCCAAGTAGGTGCAGGGGCCCAAGCACTTCGGCCATTTTGTGCTGCTTTCCCATGTGCACTAACAGGGAGTGGGATTGGAAGTGGAGCAGCCAGGACTTGAACGGGTGCCCATATAGGATGCCAACACTGCAAGTGGTAGCCTAAGTTGTTATGCCACAGCAATGGCCCCACAAAATTTGTTTTTGAAGTTTTCACTGTAAGTTTCCCTTCTTATATGTTCTTGGTAGTTTGTAATTTAACTTTTCTAGTTACTCTGAAGACATGACTATGAGGACTTGTGATTTTTGTGACTAAACAAGCTAACTGATCAACAGGTCTCTGTTCTTTGCTCACTATCTCTTATACCATTATTGCCATGAAAATAAAATCTACATTTTATGGGAAAGTTATAGACTATAGTGGTATTCATGAATTCACGAAGTCAGAAGACCATAAGGCCTTCCTATCATATAGTCCTATAAAGAAAGAAATATCTTAAAGAAATTCCCAATATATTTATTAAGCTTATTAATTTCCCCTTCTTCTCATAGGTATTTACCCTCTTGATTCATAGTACAATAATTTTTGTCTATTTTGTTAACTTTATAGGAATGGAATCATCTAGTTTGTATTCTTTTTTGTGTCTGCTGCTTTCATTCAACATTTTGTTCTTGAAGTTATTCACATTTACCTTAGTACTAGAAGAAGGAATAGAATTGATGACCTTACTTTTCTCTGAAGAGAGGATAGAACTTCCACTTCACTTATGATCTTGTCTAAATACTGATGGAGTTTGTAGATTCAAAAGGCTTCTGTGACCTAGGCAGCTCATGTGAAGAGCCTTGGGTGATCACTGACATAATAACAAGAGTGTTAATTGTTAAATTAACAACAAGAGTCACTATGCACTAACTTCCCATGCAGGTTTTTTGTTTTTGTTTTTGTTTTACTGTGCAAATTGTTGAACTCTTTACTTACTATAGAGTTGGTCTTCTGTTTATAAAGTTAATTGAAAATGGATCTTAGTGGAGAATGGGACTGGGAATGAGAGAGGGAGGAGGAGGGGTAGAACAGTGGGTGGGAGGGTGGGTATGCTGGGAAGAATCACTATATTCCTAAAGTTGTACTTAAGAAATGCATGAAGTCCATATTCCTTAAACAAAAGGTTTCTTTGGGGGGAAAATAAATAAAAAGAATGGGTTACCTTGAGAAAATAAAACTAAAGGTGACTAGTTTATTGCTTGTCTGAAGGGCCATCTTTATGAATCTCCCAATAAAACTGACCAATCTTTTCTCAGAATCCCTATTGTATTCTGTACTAAAATCCATCCAAACACCTAATATCACTTTTATACTAAGTGATTTGGTGTAGTTGTCTCCTCAGATTCAGCTATGAATCCCTTGAAGGCAGATCCCATATCTTAGTTATATTTGTATCCCTAGTACCTGATATAATCCCTGGCATTCACAGGCATTTAGCACATGTATTAAATATAAATGAAATGAGGAAAGTGTAAATAAATATAATTTAATATATATTTGTTTGTTGCTGCCCTGGATTCGTTCTGAGAGGAGGAGCATGGTGGTGGCAAGAGGTGCAGAGTCACCACACAGACCCCAGGAGTCGGGTGAAAGCAGGCCAGAGGAGAGCAGCCTGCAGACTCGTTTATTTCAGTTGGTACAGCGGCTTAAATAGCCAAGGTAGCCAATCCAATCAAGGGGTGGTTTATGCCCTAACCAATCACAGCCTGTTGCCAGGCAGTATCCGAAGCCATCCAATCACAGCCTGTTGCCAGGCAGGCTCTTTTGCCATGTGGTTTCCAAAGCTATCCAATTACAGCCTGTTGCTGGGCAGGCTCCATTGCCAGGTGGGTTTCAAAACCATTCCTGAGTAACTGACCCTTGCTTGCCAGCGGCCATCTTGGCATGGCCTTCTCACTCCACCACATTTGTTGACCTTTTTAGTGATTAAAAACATGTAACATAAATGTTACCATTTTAATCATTTTTAAGTGTACACTTCAGTGGCATTCAGTATGTTCACATAGTTGTGTGAAGTTTTGCATAATGTTATATAGTTCTACATGGTGACAGGTATCACTATTAGGACAAGTCCCCCTGTTGGCAAGCTAAAGAGTAGCACCATTTAGTGGTGAATTTGCCATAGTTCAGAATCTGACCTTTATTAGCCTTACAGGTCCAAAAATTAGATTTTTTAAGTATAGAGATGACTATTTTATACATGACAGACTAGAAATTTGAAAGTAGTATGAATTAAAGTATCAATGGGGAGTATTACTTTATTAATTTACCATGAAGATATCCCTTTGCAGTGATGGAAGGTCTCTGATCCAGGGCATCCACTTTCCCAATTTGGAATACCTGAAAAGCTGAATGCTTTATCCAGAAAAACTTGATGAACATAAAATAAAAATAAGTAGATGGTCTTGTTTAGCCCCTGAGGTGACCTGTCCAGAGGCCAGAATGCTTGTGTTTTCCTATAATCTGGACACGCTAATTAAAATGTTGTCTCTAAAGCTTACTTTTCTTTTTTTTTAACTTTTATTTAATAAACATATATTTCCAAAGTGCAACTTTTGGATTATAGCGGCCTTTCCCCCCCATAACCTCCCTCCCACCTGCAGCCATCCCATCTCCCACTCCCTCTCCCATCCCATTCACATCAAGATTCATTTTCAATTATCTATATACAGAAGATCAATTTAGTATATACTAAGATTTCAACAGTTTACACCAAAAAGAAACAAAGTATAAAGTACTGTTTGAGTACCAGTTATACCATTAATTCACATAGTACAACTCACTAAGGACAGAGATCCTACATGGGGAGTAAGTGCATAGTGACTCCTGTTGTTTATTTAACAATGACACTCTTATTTATGATATCAGTAATCACCCGAGGCTTTTGTCATGAGCTTCCAAGGATATGGAAGCCTCTTGAGTTTGCCAACTTCGATCTTATATAGACAAGGCCATAGTCAAAGAGGAAGTTTTCTCCTCCCTTCAGAGAAAGTTACCTCCTTCTTTGATGGCCTGTTCTTTCTGCTTGGATTTCACTCACAGAGATCCTTCATTTAGTTTAGTGGGTTTTTGTTGTTTTTGTTTTGTTTTTGTTTTTTTTGCCACGTTGTCTTGGCTTTCAATGCCTGAAATATGGGCTTTTTAGCCAGATCCGAATGCCTTAAGGGCTGAGGCCAGAGTTAAAGCTTAGTTTTCTATGCTAGCCACCCCACTCCTATGGCATTGTTTCTTTAGGGCTGATAAAATTCCTATGGCAAGGTAACTACTGCTAAGTCTATATCTTTTCCTTGCTGTATGATTGGAATTGGAATTGTTTAACTCTTTTCTGGCAAGCCCTTATTCCCTTATCTGTAAAGAAATGTTTTAGAGGGGATCTAAAGGAAAAGCGTGGAGGAAAGTGGCGAAATCGAAGGACGATGTCTGTCTCACTTTCTCTCTGTGTTGTACCTTCATGTCTAAATAAAGATTTTCTTTTAGAATGTGACTATTAATGACTTTACCTTTGAACTGCCAATATTTCTATGGCAGAAATATTTTTCTTGAGTTGGGTGTGTGATTTTTGGTTCATTAAGAAGGATTGAAGTTTAGTCCTAAAAGCATATAAATGAGCTTAAGTACAGATACTAAAAATTGGACATGCGGTCTCAATACATACATCTTGGATTTTATTGTAAGTAATTTTACTGTGTTTTAAATACTAACAGGTTGCTCTCAAGGGAGTGGTATTTTACATTATGCTCAAGGAGACACTCAGCAAACTCAACTATTAAAACAAGGTAAGAATGAAGCATTTGAGCATACTGTTCTTTTTGTCTTTCCTATCTTAAACATACATGTTTTAAATGTACAGGAAGAAGCTCCATGGGCACTGGTCTCAGCAGTGGGAAGCGTCCTAGTCAGGAAGAGGACACACAGAGTATCGGTCCTAAAGTCCAGAGACAGAGCACTAATTAGGTAAATATTTTATGGATTTTTTTTTAGTGCCTTAATAGAGTGTGTAATTAACATAAACTCAGATGGAGCTAATCTCTGTTTCATACCAGAGAATCCTGAGGCATGAATCCTTAAGCAGTTATTAAAATTAGTTAATTATTGGACAAGAGATGCATCTGTTTTGGGACAAAGTGCTGTTCTCAGTTTGATGGTTATCTTACAAGATGATCTTTAAATTTGAAAAGCGTATGACTTTGTGGTCAAGTTTTTACTTGGAAAAACACCGCTTTTTCATTTCCTTACTGTGTGACCATGAGTCTCAAACAGTTAAAATGGTGTTTTAATTTTAGTGGCATTTTTGCCTCTTAAATATGTATAATTTTTTTATCTGTTGTGATGCTTCTAAAATCTAAATTCTTTCCAGTTTAAAAACAATCTGGATTTTTAAAAGTGTTGGATCCTTGTAGACATATGAAAGAGCTATGCCTGCATTCATTTTAATTGGACATGGGATACTATTGATGTGATCCAAGTTAATTTGAAGAATATATAGTACATTTGCCAGTGTTTAAAGATTTCTTATAAACTTTATATTTTAATTGCTTAATTTTTTCATACCAACCTAATTAGACTAAATTTCGTGGAGATGATCAATAAATACATCAAGTTTTTATGATTTAATGCTTTATAATCAAGCTTTACTCAGTTTTGTTTGTCTCCCCTCCCCTTTAAATCACAGAAAACATTCAGGAGGAATACTGTTGCAGCTGAAATTTTTGGGGATTTCAATGCTTTTCAACTAAATTATTTTAAAATGTTCTTCACTTATGGAAAGCAGTTACATTTTGAAATGCATTGTTTCTAATGACATTTCTGTGGTTTTTAACTTTTTAATGAATTTCACATAGTATGGGTGGTAATTTGTATATAAAGAACTTGACAAAAGAGTTTGCTTAATGTAAATATAAATAGTCACTGTTAGCATAGATCCATCAATATATTTTTGATAATTTTTCATGTATGGTAAAAGTTGCAAACTGGTATTGTTATCAAACTCAAAGTTTGAGAGTCAATGTGGGGAAATAGGAGGTTTTTAGACTTTCTTAAAAGACTTTGTTAAAATTTAAGGACAAAATTTTCCTGACATCATTGAACTAACTTTGATAATGTTTTAGAAAATGTGTATAATCAAAATTGGTTATTGTAACCTCTGTTAACGCATAGAATATGTTTTAAACTTCATGTTTGCCTGTTTAGACCCAAACGTGTAGAAGGATCATGTGTTAAGTTCTCTGTCTCCCTTTTTTTTGTTCATTTATAACTAAAGTGACCTTGTTATTAAAGTTTATGCAAATATGCCATTTTGTGTACTTGATGGTTGTTTTTCTTTTGTTCCCCTTTTTTTGTAAGGGGAAAAGCATTGCTATGTGAGATGTGATTTATAAATTAGAGACAGATTACATAAACCACATCTTGAATGAAGATAGTATTATAGAACGGACTTTTTATGTATACTCTCTAAGAGACAAAATTGTGGGGAGCAATCCGGACTAGACTAAGTTACTCGAATTAGGACTTATTCTATGCATCTGCTCTCCCACAATATGGCGCTGGGAGAGAAGTAAACAGCTTCCGCACAGCTGCCTCCAGTTCAACCAATTAACTGTAGGACTTGCTCCTGATTGGAGAGCAGCGTACTCAGCCGAGTTGGGATTGGCGGAGGAGGACTATAAAGGAGGAGAGAGACGGCATGCACCAGAAACATCTATGGGGAACATCTAAGGGAACCCGTGCAGCCCCCAGAGAGCCGGCCGGCGGTGTGCCGCTCCCCTGCGGAAGTGGGGAATGCGGCCAGGGGGAACTGCCCTTCCACGGAGGTGGAAGGGATAGTAGCCAACCCGGGAAGAACCAGCAGCAAACCCGGGGAGGGCCGAGCAGACGAAAGAACAGCGCAGGGTCCTGTGTTGCTCCTCCACGAAGAGGGGGAGCGACAAAAATGACTAAGTATCACATATTTAATAAAACAGTATGTTTCAAAATTAATTTACAAAAAAGATTTAAAGCTAAGGGTTGTTTTCAAGTAATAGAGCTTATGAGTCAGACTTTACAGAGTAACTAACACAGTTAAGAGCATCAGCTCTGTAGTCAAATGCCTGGCTCTGCCTCTTTACTGGCTTTGAGATCTTGGGCAAATTCTTAACTTTCTGCATATATAAAATGGGGATGAGACAGTATCTGCTTCATAGTCCAATTCCATGTAAAATGCTGATAAGTGTGCCTGGTGTGCTAGGGTACTCATAAACTGTTAGCTATGTGCTGCATAGCTCCCTAAATTGCATAATACACAGTCTGCATACTGTGTATTGTAGTTCTGGCTAGCTGCCATTATAATTATGGCTGTTGTTATACCTTGACTGTTCTCTAGTAGGCTAATTCTTGCCATTTTCAATTATAACCAGTGACTTTTCACTTTATCATCTTTAGTTGTGATAGATAATCAGTGTATGTGCATTTAAAAGTAGCTGAAGATGATTTGGGGTCAAAATACAGAAACTTAACTCAGATGATATGCAGTTTAAAAAATATACTGGATAATGAATTAACAATGATCAGGGCTGGTGTAATGCAGCAGGTTAAGCCACAGCTTGCAACCCTGGCATCCTATTTCAGAGAACCAGTTCAGGTCCCAGCCACTCCACTTCCAATCCAGCTCCCTACTAATGTGCCTGGGAAAGTAGTAGGTGATGGTCCAAGAACTGGGGACCTTGTCACCCTTGTGGGAAACCCAGAGTTCTGGGCTCCTGGCTTCAGCTTAGCCCAGCTCTGATTGCACCATGCAGTTCTGAGTTTATTTTAATGATTTTTTCTTTTCTGTATCCTACTCTAATTCCCTCTCCCTAAATGCAAGTGACACACTTAGGTTAGTCTGGACCACAAATGCTTGTAATTCAGGAAAGGATGCAATAAATCCATGAATAATGGAGTTTTTAGATAAGGGTATCTCAGAGGAAAAAAAGGTGCTGGACAAGTATCTCCTACTCATATGCAGTAGCCATTCAGTTAATTCTAGAATATGTTGGAAATCATAGTTGAGGACTCTAGATTCGGCCTATTACTATTTTTAAAAGATTTATTTAGCTGAAAGTCTGAGTTACAGAGAGAGGGAGAGATCTTCATCCACTAGTTCACTATTCAAATGGCAACAGTGAACAGAGGTGGGCCGATAAGGAGCCAGGAGCTTCTTCCAGGTGTCCCATGTGGGTGCAGGGGCTCAAATACTTAGGTGGTCTTGTGCTGCTTTTTCAAGGCACATTAGCAGGGAGCTGGATTGGAAGTGAAGCAACTGGGAATCAAACCAGCACCTATTTGGGATGCTGGCACCACAGACAGTGGCTTTACCCGCTTCGCCACAGCACCGGCCACCTACCTACTACTCTAAAGTTAAAGTGCAAGTGTCAGTGCCTCTGAATAAAACCTGGGAACTTAAACTGCATACTAAAGGGTTAACATTTGCTGAGTACCTGCTCTGTGTCATTGTTCACAGTATCCATGAGTTGTTCACTCCACAAGATGGGAGGGTGATCTGGACCTGTTACGGTGCTGTGCATTAAGGCTATGTTAGCACTGTGCCATGTACTGTAAACAGGACAGAAGGACCACAAACCTGGGGAAACCATGGTTTCCCTGACTGCAGTCCTACACACAGACCAACCAGGCCAGGATCAGGGCACCCTGTCCTTGGTGATATTTAACTCCAGTTGTGATTAATGATGTTATTAGTCGTTAATGTCTTTTTCCTCTCTTAGAATGTGGTACCCGTGATATATTTTATTCCTCAAGTGCTTTCTTCGTATTTCTGTTTCACATGCTCACCATTCAAGAGGCATGCCACAAATAGTCACTGATTGAATGGATAAATGTGAGAATAAATAAGAGATAATTTTCTTTACTTCATGAGGTTGGGCATCACAGATAATAATGGACAATGTAGGGGCAGGCGTTATGGCCATGGAAGGTTAAGCCATAACTTGTGATACCTGTATCCCAAATCTGAGTGCCTAGGACCCAGTCCCACTTCTACTTCTAATTCAACTTCCTACTAATACGCACCTGGGAGGCAGCAGGCAATGAAGTACTTGGATCCCTGCACCCATGTGGGAGACCCAGATTAAGTCCCTGGCTCTTGGCTTCAGCCTGACCAAGCCCCAGCTGTTGCGGGCATTTGAGGAGTGAATAGATGCTCTCTTTTGCTGTCTCTCCTTTCTGTCATTCTGCCTTTCAAATAAATAAATATTTTTTATGGGAGACCAGGAGAAGCACCTGGCTCCTGCCATCGGATCAGCGCAGTGCGCCGGCCCCAGCGCGCTGGCCGCGGCAGCCATTGGAGGGTGAACCAACGGCAAAGGAAGACCTTTCTCTCTGTCTCTCTCTCGCACTGTCCACTCTGCCTGTCAAGAAGAAAGACAGAAGAGGCAACAGCATTAGAATGTAAGCCACTGGCCATTTATCAGTAAAGTAGTGTTTAGGTGAAGGTGGCAGGAAGATGGCTTTTTTTTTAGATGTATTTATTTATTTGAAAGTCAGAATTACACAGAGAGGCAGAGAGAGAGGGAGAGGGATAGAGGTCTTCCATCAGCTGCTTCACTCCCCAATTGGCCCCAACGGCTGGAGCTGAGCCAATCCAAAACCAGGAGCCAGGAGCTTCTTTCTGAGTCTTCCAGGCGGGTGCAGGGGCCCAAGGCCATCTTCTACTGCTTTCCTAGGCCACAGCAGAGAGCTGGACAGAAGTGGGGCAGCCAGGACTCAAACTGTTGCCCATATGGGATGCCGGCACTGCAGGCAGTGGCTTTACCTGCTAGGCCACAGCGCCGCCCAGGAAGATGGCTTTTAAACATTAGTCAGCAGGGCAGGCTCTGTGGCACAGCAAGTTGAAGCCCTGGCCTGCTGCACGAGCATCCCACATGGGCGCCGGTTCGAGTGGTGGCTGCTCCACTTCAGATCCAGCTCTCTGCTATGGCCTGGGAAAGCAGTAGAAGGTGGCCCAAGTGCTTGGGCTCCTCCAACCCCGCGCTAGACCCGGAGGAGACTCCTGGTCTTTGCGGCCATCTGGAGAGTGAACCAGCAGATACAAGACCTCTCTCTCCGGCTCTACCTCTCTCTGTAACTCTCTTTCAAATAAATAAATTAAATCTCAAAAAAAAAAAAAAAAAGACTAATCAAAGTCGTTAACTACCGGGGTAGAGATCTTTTATTTCTTAAAACTGTGTGTGTGTGAATTGCTTCTTCCTTGAATTTATTTTGGCTCTAAAAGATTCGGCGATTTCTGAGTTGGTTGTACTTGTTTTCTTACGAGCTAGTAACATTCTCTAAGGGACAGAGCAACTGGAATTCCAAGTCTGCTAATGCTGGGAAGCAAAGGGTGTGAAAATGTCAGACGCAGTCATTGCACGCCCTGTGCCACGTCCCGAAAGCTGATTCCCAGGCAGACCTGGCTCGGCAGCCCTGCCCCTACCCAGGCGTGGGGTGTATCACGTAGCCTGTATCCCGCGCTCTGATTGGCCGAGTTGGAGTCGCGGGGGTGTGCCTGCGGGCTTACCCATCTCCCAAGCTCTGATTGGCTACGGGTGAAGGGGCGGCCTGGTCGGCCTGGCTGGAGGAAATTGTAGAGCGCCGGAGACTTAGGACCCAGGCCCGGGCCTCGGGAAAACGTCAGACCTGGGGAGACAGGCCCGCGAGGGAGGAAGGACAGAGCCATGGTCCCAGGACCCCTGCGCTTTGCTTGGAGCTGACACCAACAGGTGAGTCATTCCCTTCTTCCGCCGCTGGGGAGATATGACGCTCGCAGCACCGCCGCCAGTGTCGGGGGCCACGCACGGCAAAGCCGGCGCCCAGCCAGATGCTCAGCTCCGCCTGCCTGGGCTGGGCCAGCACTGGGCACCTTGGGCCGATATTTTCTGGAAAAGTGGAGCCTCCCTTTGGGAACGTGCAACCTTTTGCGCGGCCCAAAAGATCCCCTTTCATGAACTCTTTTTTTCCCTTAAAACGTTGATATTAATTTGAAAATTTCAGATCATGGATGTTATAAACGTGGAACTTACTTGAAATTAGTGGTAATGTAGAAAGGATCTTATTAAGTATAAAAATTGTGCATGTTACGGACTGTATTTCACTCCTCAAAAATGCTTGGAAACGCAAAGACTCAGAGCATAGTCCACAGTGTGATTAAACAAGCAGTTACCGAGAGCAGTACTATGCACAGAGCAGGGGACTAAGAGCAGGACTCTGGAGCCAGACTGTTGGTTTGAATCCAGGATCTGCCATTTACTAACTGAGCAACTTTGGAGAGTTAACTTTACCTGTCTCTGCTTCCTCATCTTCATAATGTTATTGGGGGTGATTTAGTGCTAAGAATATGTGAAATTTCCTGAATATTCTAAGTGACTGAGGGAGTGTTCCCATTTTCCTGATAGTCAAACTGAGTCAACAGACATGAAGTTGTGTCCTTAGATCACCACAACTGTTGTCCAAATTTTAAGCCCAGACAGTCTGGCTCCAACAGCCAACAATTTTACTCACTACATTAAATTGCTTTATGAACATAGTCTGTTTACTGAGTTTCAAGGGATAGGAGTTCTGTTTCTCTGTGGACCAGGTTCTTTGCTAGCTGTATTGATAATCCAGAGCAGCGTTACGTCCCTGCCCTCCCAGTGCTTGTAGAACTAATCAAGTTGTTCATGGCTGGACTGCATTGCGTCCATGAATCTTGCTAAAAATCATTTCTAAAATGTTATAGGTTTGGATATTTTTTTTCCTGCAAAGAGAGTCTGTGGCTCTCAGATTCTCAGATGCCTTAGAAGCCAAAAAAAAGGTCTAAGTGTTGTTTCAGCAACAGACCTAGTGCCCCAAATAATGCCTTACTTACTTTAAAAAACACTACTGGTGGGATGAAGAACTTTTAGGCGCAACAGTAGATTCAGAAGCAGTGTTCTCTCTAGTGAGAACACAGGAAGGTCACCTGCCCGGGAATGCCTCCTCGATTCTGTGATGCCAGTGGGTGAGGTAAGGAAGCAATTAACTGGAACACGTTAGTGAACAGTCTGTGCCCTTATGGACATTGAGACAAAAACAACGTATGAACAGCTGCAGCTATGGCAGGTGGTACACTGTTGTGATTCATGTGCCTTGAAAGCCTCTGGTGGAGAGGTTTCATCCATTCATGAAGGTCAGGGAATCGTCCTTGAGAACGTGACACAGAGAGAGCTGAGAGTTAGTACAGTTTGGTATTGGAGAATGGTCATAGACCCCAAAGACTGTATGGCTTTGAAGAGCCACGAGGACTGCAAGGAAGCTGCTACAGCTGGTGTAGGAGATGGAGACAGGATTGAGATGGTGGTAGAGCTCAAAGAGGCCTTGTAGGCCATGGTAAGGAATTCTATGTTTTATTTAATGTTTACCCTAAAATGCCATCAAAAAGTGTATTGCAGTGAGATGACAAGATCACACTTTTGATAAGCTGGAGAGAAGCCCAAGTTGACTAACTGAAGCCTTGAACAAGAACAAGATTGCTGAAGAAAAACTGTTCAGGTAAGAAGTCTAGAACTAAGACTTAAAGATGAGCCTGCAGAGACAGATAAAGCATGATCAGATGTGCATGAATAAGAACCAGGACAAGGGAGAATCCTAGAAATCAAATGAGACAGAGTAGTCAACTAATCCAGAAAGCCAGAGGTCAAATGAGCTAGGAACTATCACTGGCTCTAACCATGTGGAAGTTGTCGTCATTGGAAGCTGTGTAAGTAGGAGGAAAGGAAATGCAGATTAGAACAAGAAGATCATCAAGAATTAGCTGAAGGGAAGAGAAAAATAGGGTTTGGGCTGGAGGGGGAGTGAGAGAAGAGCTGTGGCGGTGAAGGGGGGAAACCAGAAGATGGTGGGCTGAAAGAGTAAGTGTGAGAACAGAGCTTTTGAGTTCTCAGGCCAGTGGGGTGGTCTCCTCACAGGAGCAGGGTTTACTCAACAATGACAGGCACCACTGCAGAGGACAAAGCAGTGGGTTGATGTCTGGTGTGATGGGTTGCTCTCCATTCTTTGTACAGATTAAGATGCGAGAGCATTGGCTGGGAGCAAAGGAGGAAATGGGGGCAAGGGAGAGACTAGAGGTCTAAATTGAGAAAATGTGAGATAACTGAGGGAAAATCATGGAAGGATGAGTTGACCAGAAGTGGTTTTAAGATAAGCTGTCGGGGAAACCCAAGTATGCAGCAAAGGCCCACTCAGAGAATTAAAACACAGTAGGGGATGCTGTAGTTTGAATATGGTTGGGAACTTGGTCCCTAGTGTAGCAGTTTCTGCAGCTGGGGCCCAGAGCCCTCATGAATGGATTAATGCCTTAATCACTGGAGTTCTCGCTCTCAAGGAATAGTTTGGTTGCCTTGAAAATTAGTTGTTACTAAACTGTTACTCCTTGTGTTTTCTGTTTCACATACTTGCCCTTCGGCTTTTTTCTGCCATGTTTTATAGCACAAGACCATCACTAGATGCAGCTGTCTGATTCTGGACTTTTGGGCCTCCAGAACTTTGAGGTAGACAAATTTCTTTTAAAATTACACATTCTTAAGTAGCTACACAAAACAAACACAGCCGAATTAGAAACAAAAGCTATATTTAACATATGTTAGAGGCATCCTAAATCACAGGCAAGGTAGATTGTTCAAAACATGCTTGTTGGAATGGGCATCTGGAACAGCAGTTAAGACGCCACTTAGGACACCTACATCCTGTATCAGAGCACCTCGGTTCAGCTCCCAGTCCCGCTTATGATTCCAACTTCCTGGGAGGCATCAGATGATGGCCCAAGTATTTGAGTCCCTTGACAGCGACATGGGAGACCTGGACTGTGTTCCTGGCTCTGTTTGGACCTGGCCCAGTTCCAGGAATTTGTGAGCATCATTTGTGAGACTGAATCAATGGGTGGAAGATTGCTGTCTCTGTGCCTTGCAAATAGAAAAATTAAGCTTTTTTTTAAATGATGCTTGGAGAGAACTACACTGTTGTTGACAGTTTATATAGATTCTCAACATCCAGAATTTTAAGATTTATTAATTTATTTGAGAGGTAGTTACAGGCAGAGAGAGGGAGAGACAGAGAGAAACGTCTCCCATCTACTAGTTCACTCCTCAAACGGACGCAACAGCTAGAGCTGGGCTGATTCACAGCTAGGAGCCAGGAGCTTCTTCTGGGTGCTCCACGTGGGTGCAGGAGCGCAAACACTTGGGCCGCCATCTACTGCTTTCCCAGGCCATAGTAGAGAGCTGGACTGGAAGAGGAACAGCTAGAACTAGAACCGGCACTCAGATACCAGTATCGCAGGTGGAGGCCTAACCCACTACACCACAGAGCCAGCCCCAACATCCAGAAATTTCAAATGAATAAAGGAGCTAACTTAAAATTCAAACATACAAAAGGATATGGATGAATTTTCACCAGATCATCTGGGTGTTTAAAAGTGGTAGGAATCATAATGGAAAACTTTCTTTGGCCACTGAAAACTTCTTTGTTCTGACATATGCTACAATATGGAAAATTCTGCAAACATTATGCTAAGTGAAATAAGCCAAAGACAAAATCAGATGCTCCTCAACTTATGATTGAGGTCCTGTAAAAACCATAGTAAGTTGAAAATACAGCACATGAAAAATGGATTTTTTAAAGATTTATTTATTTATTTGAAAGGCAGAGTTAGAGAGAGGCAGAGAGAGAGGTCTTCCATCCACTGGTTCACTCCCCAGTTGGTCGCATCGGTCAGAGCTGCACCGATGTGAAGCCAGGAGCCAGGAGATTCTTCCAGGTCTCCCATGTGGGTCCAGCGGCCCAAGCCCTTGGCCCATCTTCCACTGCTTTCCCAGGCCATAGCAGAGAGCTGGATCGGAAGTCAAGCAGCTGGGACTTGAAGTGGTGCCCATATGGGATGCCAGCACTGCAAGTGGCGGCTTTACCCACTACGCCACAGTGTCGGCCCTTGGGTATACTTTCAAACACCATTAAATCAAAAATTGTAAGGTGAACCATTGTTAACTCAGAGACCATCATATTCTACTTCTGTGAAGTATCTAGAAGAGGCAAATTTATACAGATAGAAAATAGAACAGACGTTACCAGGGACTACTTTAGTATGCTAAAATATACCATGAACAGTTGAAAATGTCATGCAAATGCAATATTAAGATTTCCCAAGAAATTAGAATTTTTTTTTCTTAGTAGAGTTTAAATTTAAAAAAAAAAAAAAAAAAGGTGTTCCTTCCATTGGTTCACTCCCCAAATGGCCGCCACGGCCGGAGCTACACCAAAGCCAGGAGCCAAGTGCCTCCTCCTGGTCTCCCTCGTGGGTGCAGGTGCCCTAGCACTTGGGCCATCCTCCACTGCCCTCCTGGGCCACAGCAGAGAGCTGGACTGGAAGAGGAGCAACCGGGACTAGAACCCGGTGCCCATATGGGATGCTGGTGCTGCAGGCGGAGGATTAACCAAGTAAGTCACAGTGCCAGCCCCAAATCAGTTTTTTAAAAAGTAAAAGATTGCTGTCTAACTCTACCTGGCAAAAAATAAAAAAAAAAAAATTAAAAATAAAAAAAGTAACAGATTGTGGTTTAGTAATGCAAAAAGCAGAAATAGTTGACTCATAAAAGTTAATGAAGATATTCAAAATAATTAAAAGTTTAGCTTCAATAATAAAAATCTGTTCAATTAGTGTTACATCATTTTTCACATACCAAAATAAAAACAGATGAATCACTCATTAGAGAATGTCAACAAACATAGTTTTTCTTGACAATAATTAACAGCAACTTTAGTCTGTCAAGTGTTCATATATCTCCCCCAGGAATTCTGTGAATTTACCCTAAAGGAAAAACATGAAATGTGGACAGATACTCAGCATACAGCAAAAATTACAAGTAGCCTAAGTGATCAATATTAGGAATGAATTAAAAATTAATCCTATATCTTATACACATTTCATAAATCTGTGGATAAAAAATGAATTATGTAATGTTCCTTTTAATATTCAAGCTTTTCACTTTTGCAGTCAACTGAACTCATTAGAGAACTGTTCAGACAACTCACCTGAACACATCATGGTTCACTCTACAATAAGCAGGAATGGGTGACAGCTTGCTTTTCTCTTGGCCTCATTGGGCAAGAGCCCCTCTGTCAGTCAGTGGAGGAGCCTTGGCATTGTCAATGTGGTGTCAATATTTAAGGAGCTGTCATTCTGTACAATGCTAATCCACAAACCAAGCCAGCTACTTTATCTGGTGCTTAGCCAGACAGTAGGATCTAACCCTCAAGGAACCCTTGGCTCTCCGGGGCTGGCTGAGATTTAGTGTGTTGATCACCAGTATGTTACCTGCTTAAGGGATAGTCAAGGAAAATGTTGAGCCTTTGCAATTAGGATGAATTCAATACCTAACTCCCATGTATAGGGCAGCCTTGCACTATGTATTTAAAGAATTATAATGGGGTGTGGGTAGTGGTGATGATGGGGCTTGGCCTAACAGTTAAGACATGTTGGGATGCTCGCATTCCATATTAGAATACCTGGGTTTGATGCCCAGCTCTAATTCCTGACTCCAGCTTCCTGCCGATGCAGGTGCCAGATAGTAGTAGTGATGGTTCAAGTATTTGAATTTCTGCCACCCACATAAGAGACGTAAATTGAGTTCCTGGCTTTGGCCTGGTCCAGTCGCAGCTTGTTGTGGGCATCTGGGGAGTAAACCAGCTAATAGGCACTGTTTTCTGCTTTTCATTTTTTTAAAAACTAGAGTTGTTAGGTAGTGAAACATGGAAAAACAGACATGTAAATATCAAAACAGGAACAGTTGTCTACAGGTGGTGCAATTTTGACCATTTTCTATCCTTATACTTTTCAGAATTTGACAGTCTCTATTTAGTGAGTTTATTTTTTTATAAGCAATTATTTTGGAAAACTGAGATTTAAAATAAGTTTTCAGGGGCAGACATTTGGTACAGTGGTTAAGATGCTGCTTGAGACACCACATTCCATTTCAGAGTGTCTGGTTCCGAGTCCTGGCTCTGCTAATGCACACCCTGGGAGGCACCAGGTGATGGCTCAAATAGTTGAGTTCCTGCCACCCTCAGAGACCTAGCTCCTGGGTGTTTGGGAAAGAACTAACAGGTGGGAAGTCTATCTGCCTCTCTCAAAATAATTAAACAAATAGAATAAAACAGCTTTCAGCTGCTCTTTGTTAAGTAATTGTACTTCTAAAATACAATTCAAAGTCATTACTACAACCTTGTAAGCTCCAACTTTTTAATAGCTGCCATGTGTTAAGTACTTACTGTACGTATCAGGCATTGTGCAGAGTGCCTGAAGTGCATTTTAACCCTTGCAGTATTCTTAAAGTTCAGATGCTGTTGATATCAGAGTGCCGCTGTTATGATTATATTCATTAGGTATTTCCCATGCTCCTCCCCAGCATGTGGATTGAAGGTAAGGCCTGAGCACCATGTGGGTCACACAGTGAGTGGGGATGGGCCCCTGGCTCAAATTTGCCTATGTTTTTGCCACCTTCTCTTCCCTGTTCTGATGATTCTCTTTAAAATTTTTAAAAATTTCTGACACATAACAATTATATATACTTAAGGGATACAGTGTGATATTAAATATATGTTAAAATTTTTTAATGGCTAATGATATTAGGAGTTAATAATAGTGGCTTGTTGAGCCACTAAAGCAGTAACTATGCCTACAATTAGTTTGGTCTCTATAAGCCCTAACAATGTGCTATCATAAATGGTACATCAAGGGATTGGCATTGTGGCACAGTGGGTTAAGCTGCCACCTGTGATACCAGCATCCCAGTTTAGCCAGCTCTCTGCTAATGGCCTGGAAAAACCAGCGGAAGATGTCCCAAGTGCTTGGGCCCCTGCTACCCATGTAGGAGACCCAGAGGAAGGTCCTGGCTCCTGGCTTTGGCCTGGCCCAACCCTAGTCATTGCAGCCATCAGGGGAGTGAACCAGTGGAGGAAAGATCTCTCTGCCTCTCCTTCTCCCTCTGGAACTCTTTCAGTAAGTAAGTTAAAAACAATACTAACGGCAAACCAAGATGGGAGCTTTGTCTGCCTTTCCTTCTCCCTCTGGAACTCTTCAGTAAGTAAGCTAAAAACAATACTAATGGCAAACCAAGATGGGAGCTTTGTTACTTATTCTCCCTTACAGAACAATCATTTACACGTGTTAGGCTTGAAAGTGGAAAGTGCTCAGCACACATGGCAGAAGCACTCTGCTAAGAGGCAGGGTTGGTGATGACTGTTATCCACTTTCCTTTCAAAAGGCTGCTAACTAGCAACTTAGCCCATCAGCATGCTTTTGTGGTAGGGCTTAGCACTCTCACATCCTAAAAGTTAAACAAACTAGGTATGTTTGCATTACCAGAGACAAAAAAAAAAAAAATGTGGTGAAGGAGTTTAATACACTACTCTGCATAATTAGAGGCACCTGAAAAAACAGCAGTGCAAGATCACTTCCAACCTCTTCTGAGTCATCAAAGCAGGCAAGTTCCCACGCGGAAGATGCCCTCTCTACAGCAAGAGTAATGTGTGTATCCTCAAAGGACTTGAACTCAAACTTTAAAGGAATTCTGTGCAGATCTCATTAAAATAATTTTTAGTTGTTCCCTCACAACTCACTGTTCTTGATCCCGTATATAACCGATTGCAGCTGCTTCTCTGGGTCTCCAGTTCCTTATGAGGGTTCTTGTGCCACATAAAATTTATTAAGAAAGTCTATATGCTTTTCTCCTGTTAATCTACCATCTATCAGTTCAATTTTCAGGCCCAGCAAGTATCTCAAAATATAAATGGAGTTTTGCCACCCCTACAGTGGCAAAGGCTATAATGCATCAGACAAGGGTAACCATCTCAGGGTACCTAAAGGTGTCAAGTGGCAATAAGCAGACTATTTTAAAGGCAAAGTCACCATTCCACAGGAGACAGACTTCCCATGGACCTACTATAATAGTCATGTGGCACTTGTCATTTACCTTTCTAAGATTTATCAATATTTTAATCTAGATTTATAAAATGTTTTTGTTCATAACTAAGAATACATCTATTAACTCATCTAAAGTAAAACAAATTAGCTGACCCATTTTGGGTGATAGTTACTCAGCAAAAATATCTACTCTAAAATATTAGATGCCCCTCCATCTCTTTAAGTATCTGCTTTAGCTAAACATCAACTTGGAAATGTACATTTCAAAAAACCCTATGGTGTGCACATGCCTGTGCTCTTGCCCAACAAATGCCTTTTAAAGGAAACCTAGGAGTCATAGGAAAGGCAGTCTGTGTCAGAACAACACAAAGCCTGTGAACCTCTGAACTCTGGTCTTGCTGCTGATCTGCAAAATGAAATAACTACTTCATATGGTTACTGCAAAGCTCAGTGGATTTACACAATGTAAGGTGTCTTGGGGCCAGCACTGTGGCAGTAATGAGTAAAGCCGCCTCCTGTGACACTGGCATCCCATATGGGCACTGGTTTGTATCCTGGCTGCTCCACCTCTGATCCAGCTCCCTGCTAATTTACCTCAGAGTATGGCCCAAGTGCCTGGATGAAGCTCCTGGCTCCCAGCTCTGGCCTGGCCCAGCCCCAGCTGTTCTAGCCATTTGGGGGATGAACTAGTGAACTTATGTCTCTTCCTCTTTCAAATAAATCTTATAAAAAAATAGTCTATAAACTGTGGAGCAGTATATTACTTTAATAAATTACATAAAGGAGTTTTTTAATACTCCCAGTGGCCTTTCCTTTCTAATTTATATCCCTTTGATTTCTATAGTTAAGACTTACAAAGCTCAAAATTTTAACTTTGAATGTTCTAAAAGCCAACACCCCTTGCATTAAAAACCTTTGTTTTTTCTCTTACAGGTATGCCGAGTATTTTCTGAATCCCAGGACAGCAGGAATGAGCCAGGGGATTACAGGCATGCTGTGGAAGCTGCTGCTGAGGTCCCAGCCCTGCAGGTTGAGTTCCTTCAGAAAGGCGCAATCAACTCCAGGGAACAGACCTTTTCTTGCACGCTTCACCTACACAACTGACAGACAGTCAAACACAGAAAATAAAAGAACAGTGGAAAAGCTCTGTAAATTTTCAGTTGACATTAGGAAAATCCGTAGATTAAAAGAATGGGTACTTCTGGAGGATAAAACCTATGTTGAAGAAATTGCCAATATTTTACAAGAACTAGGTGCCAATGAGACTGTGATAGCCAGTATTTTGGAACGCTGCCCAGAAGCAATTATCTGTAGTCCAACTGCTGTTAACACCCAGAAAAACCTCTGGCAGTTAGTCTGCAAAAATGAGGAAGAATTAATCAAATTAATAGAGCAATTTCCAGAATCTTTCTTTACTGTTAAAGACCAGGAGATGCAGAAGTTCAATGTTCAGTTCTTTCAAGAACTGGGACTCAAGAATGTAGTCATTAGCAGGTTTCTGACAACTGCATCTCCTGTCTTTCATAATCCTGTTGAGAAGAATAAACAGATGATACAGATTCTCCAAGAGAGTTATCTAAATGTGGGGGGCTCTGAGGCCAACATGAAAGTCTGGCTACTAAAATTATTAAGCCAAAACCCGTTTATTTTGTTAAATTCTCCTGAAGCTGTAAAGGAAACACTGGAATTTCTCCAGGAGCTGGGTTTTACAAATTCAGAAATTCTCCAACTTCTTTCCAAACTCAAAGGCTTTCTTTTTCAGCTTTGCCCAGGAAGTATACAGGACAGTATTTCTTTCTCTAAAAACACTTTTAAGTGCACAGAGCATGGCCTGAAGCAGCTGGTTTTGAAATGCCCTGCTCTTTTATATTATTCTGCTCCAGTTTTAGAAGAGAGAATTCAGGGATTATTGAAAGAAGGAATTTCCTTAGCTCAGATAAGAGAGACACCTATGGTTCTTGAATTAACGCCACAGATAGTGCAGTACAGGATAAAAAAACTGAATGCCTTAGGCTACAAAATAAAGGATGGGCATTTAGCGAATCTAAATGGAACAAAAAAAGAGTTTGAGTCTAACTTTGGTAAAATTCAAGCCAAGAAAGGCCGACCATTGTTTAATCCTGTGGCACCATTAAATGTTGAAGAGTGATTTACTGATGTTGCTTCTTGCAATATAGAGTGAAAGTGATTAAGCAAAAATTTAAGCAATTCAGGCAGTTTACAAACACCAGTAATTTAAAGGAAATGCCTACTTCATTTCTGGGTTGTGTTTAAGCTGCCTCTAAATACTTTCCAACGCATTCACTCTATTTTATACTTAAATTGCATTTATTTTAAGTGGATTGACCTTGACTTAAATTGCATTTAAAGTGGATTGACCTTGAACTACTGTTTAAAAAAATGCACATGCTACTATTTAAATGGCATATCACTGTGGTACTCTGTAATCGAATTATTTCTAAGAAGCTGACAAATACACTCCCTAATTCAGTATAGCACATTTCATCTAGTATGCACAGCCAGTCTCCCTCATAACCAGCTCTAAACATCACTCTACTCTGGACTGTACTCTGTAGCTTACTGCAAAGTCAAACATCGGCAAACCACTAATACATCTTTTTAGGGAAAATGAATTCTTATCACACTGAGAATAAATGAGGACTTCTTAAGAACCACACATTACTGAAAAAGAATAGTTGGTGCCTACTTATGTGGACAAATTTGTCTAAAGCACACATGTTCATTACCTTCCCAGTTTTACAGATATGGCAACTGAAGCTTAGACACACTTGCCTGCCAAGAGATTTATTATGATCAATCTTATTACGTCTTCTAAATGGAAAGGATTGTTTATGAGCTGGCCTAAGAGAAGCTACCAAACCTTCCATGATAAGGGAATGAAAACTAACAGCAAATTTGGACTTTTATGAAAACTTTTCTATAAATTGAAATTACCTATGTACATTTTCAATAAATGCAACTTTTTAGAAACTTTTCTGAAAATCCAGGTCTACCTGACTTGTAACAGAAATTATTTGATAGTTGGCAATAATTTTAGCAGTAGTGTTTTAAGTTTCCATTTCTAAATTTTGATCCAAAATAAACATTACCCAGATAAAAGACTGGCTCGTCGTCAGCTCTGAAGTTTGAACTGTGTAAAAAATACATGACCAAACAATTGACTCTGACACTGAACATCTGTGCTGTGTGAGTATGAAAAATGTAGGAAGTATCTTCTCCATTCATTCACCATTCCATTTAGAGGTAACTTAAGCCTAACTCAGAAGCTAGTCATCACGTAACCCTCAGTACTCAATCTATGTACTTCTACTCTATAGGCATAGTACTTTAAAATCCTAAGAGTTAACTACCATTTACTGTTATACAGACTCAGGGTTACTTTCCCAAGGTCACATAGGAATATGTTATAAAAAAAAATAGCATCCAATAGTTAGATGAAGAAAGTATCACAGGTCCATCGGAGGAGCATTCTAAGAGTAAAGGGAAACCTTGCAGAGTTTTTTTTTTTAGTTAATGCTTCCAGATAAACTAAAACCTTAGTTTATGTCAGGATAATTTTGTCCTGACATGACCAGTGGTCTGCACTCTCTCCCACTCTCAAAAGTGTCTCAGGGAAACACTGTATTGTTGCCTTGGTAATTGGAAATCAATTTTGAAATGTCTACTAGGTGTCATAGCAGATTTGATTAGTAGGCAAATGGTAGAGTCTGAAACTGTGAGAAGTCAGGTCTGGATATACATTTTTGAGAATCATCTGCAAATCTGTGTATTTAAAGCCATGGCTTCAGATGAAATTGCCTGCAAAAATAGTATAGATTTTTGGAGTAGGGTGGCTGGCCAAGCCCAGAAAAAGATGATCCGAGGAAGAAAAAATGACAGTTGATAACATACTGAATGCCACAGAGAGGTCAACTAAGATACATGTAATCAGAAAAGCAGAGATTGTGAGATTCACTTTTATTTAAAGAACATGTTTATATGCTAATTGGTACAGCCCAGGAAAGAGATAGGAAAAACTGTAGGATGTGAAGGTGGGCTGATGGTTAAGAGCAGAGGATTGGTCCTGTCCAGAGTTTGGGTCAGCAGTAGGTAGGCTGACAAAGCAGATGTGAATGGCAAGTAGCTGCTCTCCTTTTACGGAGGACAGAATGGGGGTGGGGGAGGGCAGGAGAGCTGGAACGAAGACATGAAATAACCACTTCGACTAGTTCAGCCTACCGAGCTGCTGAGCTGCACTTAAGTTACCTGTAAGTAAAATGCTGAATGAATGGGAAGAGTGAGGACACTGCGTGCATTTTTCATAATACAAGGCCATGCACACACAGCACAGGTGTTTAGGGTCAGAGTGAACATATAAGAGGATATATAACAAAGTTTAGCAGAGTCATTTAAGAAGAGATCAGTACAGCAGCAAAATACAGGTGCTCAGTTACAGGCACAGCCCCAAGGGGCAGTTGTTAGACAAATACATGTGTAGCTTATGCTATCTTGAGAAGATTACATTAAATTAAAAAAAAAAAAAAAAAAACAACCCACAGTTCAATCCTATAGTGAATCAAGCAGTGTGCTTAATTTACATTCCTTTAGGCCAAATCCCATTGTACTTTTTGGGGGGGCCCTTGAGCATCTGAAACAGTTTTGCTTTCCCTTTTTTTTCTCATCCTTACATTCTCACTCTGATCTCCCTGTGAGACAATTTTAAAAATTTCATAATCAGTAACACAGCTGGGAGAAACATCCTTACATAAAACACTGGAATCAAATTTTATTTCCTGTGTGCAGAAAGGTTCTAACAAAATTAAATTTCATCAGGCAATTTATGTACAATTACACTAAATTCACTTCTTTAGCAAACTGTAATTAACCACCAAAGTATGATCTCTTCGAAGACTTCCAGTGCGCCTCAAGTCCAACAGCCTGGTAAGTCAATGATTACTTTATTCAACACAGAATAAATCCACCTTTCCATTTTTCAACATCAGCTGGACAAGTTGTGACTTAACACTGATTCAAAGAAATTCAGCTTACATTGAAAGTTAGCCTGTTCCTTATCTGTAAAAAGGAAGTGAAACACTTCCTCCGTATGCACTTCATACTGATTTCACTGGGTGATGTATGGACAGCATCTGGCAGATAAGCAGGTGCCCAGTAAATAGCCATGCTTTGCCCTCCTCCCTGTTCCTGTCATTTCTGTTCAGAGGCCTGAGATGGTTTCACAGCTACACAGAATAGAGAGCAGTGCTTCTTATTTTGTAACTCCTGCTTAGTTTTCAAACTTCAGTGAGCACAAGAATAACCTGAAGAGATTTAAAGTGCGGCCCAGGACCCCATCCTGCAGAGATTCAGTAAAGTGGGGTAAAACCTAGAAATCTGCATTGTGAATTTTTATTAGAGGTGTTTGAAATAATTTGTATTTTACTGTTGTGTTGGTATAAAAATGCATATTTGAGGATACATGTTTGTACAGTACTATCACAAAATTTAATTGGCCACAGCACTTTCTGAACTATGTAAAATTTTTTAAGATGACCCTATATTAAAATATCCTTTATTTCTTTATAAAACATTCCATATTTTGCAGATCATAGTGCTTTTATTAACAGATTCATGTGTTCTTTTCCCATCCCTTTGATACAAAAAATTTATTCAGTATTTTCATCTGACATTTCACTAAGAACAATATTCATAACATCAACATAATTAGATCAGTCATTCAAGTGGGCACACAAGTTTATCCTTATTGTGTCAAATACCCACTCAAAAGACAAGTTGAATAACAGATGCCTCCAAGTGTACACAACAACCTTAAGTTTCTTGAAGTCAACTAGTCCTGTTTAACAGGTCAAACTGCTAGTCTATGTAAATAAACTAAAAAGTCTCAAACAGCTGTACATATCAAATGGCAAGTTCGTTTCAATAAGAATCTCTATTAACCAAGTGTACATTTGCACAGTTCTCTGCTGTCATTGCAAAAGCCCCTGTGAACAAAGTTACACTTCTGAATTTAAAACAATCTTGATGAGACTAAATGTACCAGGTGGCTTCTCTGTAGCAGAAATTTAATTACAACCATTTTTCCTCAAGCAATATTAAAGACAAGTGAAGTTGAAAATAAATATGCAAAAAGACATAAGCTAAAGTCTATACTTAGAAATTCAGGTACAAAGCACAGCAGAGCCCATGACTAAAGAAGATAAACTAGAAATATTATCTCGCAATGAAGTAGTAATTTCATCCAAATAGCAGGAAACAAGTTCTCCAAGACCATTATTTAGATCACTTAGTGTTCATCTATTAACTTTGCAGTTTTTTTTTTTTAAATCCTCTTTGCTAATTAGGACATACAACAACACATACCAAACACACCTTAAATCTCATTACTTGAAATAAATGACCACTTAATTCCTGATGAGTTGAACTTCCTAATGACTTTCCAATTTTGTATATTGTAGAACATTTGTAGATTTGCTTAAAATCCCTGCTGGTATTTATAAACACCTTTAAAAGTTGTTACATTCTCATTCATCTGCTGATCCATATTATTAATGTAATACTCTTAGTAGTTTACATACATTTGAGCCTCAGTTGTCAGGAGTAATCTGTTTGAAGTTCTCAGGGACACTGTTTTATTTACCATTGGGTTTCACCCACCACCCCAAGTCAGCAGAATGGAGACAAATTTCCAAATTTAAGTGTAAGGAAAATTAAGATCTTCCACATTTGGATTGTAACCTTTAGTTAAAAGGAATGCCAAATATATGTATGCCAGTTGTTATATTTTTAGAAACTAAACATGAAACAACAAAATGAATTCCACCTAGTTCATACCTTTGCAAATGAATGAAACACGTTTATAAGATATGACATGTTTACCATCCATAATCAGAAACTTCAATTCCCTACCTGAAATTGGTTTGAGAACTGATACAAAGTACAGCTGCTTTGAAAGACTGTAACATTTTCAAAGCCTATATAAACCACTGAGAGCACTTAAATATTCTTTACATTCACATTAAATATTCTTTACATTTACATGCTGTGAATGTCTAGAGCCCATTTCATTCCATTTAAAAGTCAGTCCTCAGTTATCTGTGATTATTTTTAAAAAGGGATACTGCTAATAATTTAAGACTGTCTAAGAATAGAATAGTTGTGAAGGAGACTTTTTTATTTTGAATGCTTTAAATAGCTCTTCAATTGTCTATTTCTTCTTAATATGAAACACTTCCAACACAGCTCCTAATCAGTAACAAAATGTTCCTTAGGCATTGTAAAGTGTATTAATGGTGGAGCATGAGTGCAGGCAAAAGCAGACAATTTGATTTTAACTACCAACAAGACAGTTAACAAGCACTATCTTACCCACCTGACTGCAAAAAATAGCTTTACTTCTCTAATTCTGAGATTCTAATTTCACCACCAACCTTTAAAAGAATCCATAAAGAGTATGAACCGCACACATCTAGGGTGTTAGAAAACATGTGTTCTTTCGTAAGGCATCAATGATTAAATGAATAAAATGCATTATCTAACAAAAGATAGCTAACAGCATCATAAAACCATTTATGTTTTCTTTTAAACTTCTCTAATTCCTGCTAATTTGCCAGCATAAATAAGAAAAGAATGCCTCTTGGCCTTATCAACTATGATTATAAAAAACTAAGACATCTGAAACTATTAGGCACATCAAAGGTACAGTTTATGTAGTTCAAGACTCCCTTCTTAAGGGGCAGATGAGTTACCTGGCACATTGTACATATGGAACTGGAAAGATCATCTACTAAATTCAACTTTCACATTTTTAGTCAAACTGAAAGACTTATAGTAAATATTCAAACATACCATATCTTCAGTTACAACTGAGTGAGTGTAACATTTTACCAGATAGAAAGCTGGAACTTAAGTACGAGAAACCTTCATATACTGTGCTAGTATTGGTCTCTTCTTTTTAGATGAAAGCCAGTCATCAATACTTTCAACACAGCAGTTAAGAAGATAAATGTCCAAAACAAGTGACCTGGTTGTAGTCCATAATTTAGCAATTCAATGCCACTGGCATCATAATGCTGTGGAGAGTACGTGTTTCTCCTTATTTTAGTCAGACTTGTCTTTCTTCTTTCCTGTTAAGGGCACTTTGTTTACAACAGCGGACCCAACAGCTGTAACACCTCCAGCCACCGCAGACACACCCCCTTTCACCAGCCCTATTCCCATGGAAGGCACAGTTGTAACAGCTGTTTTGGTCACCTCCAGACTCTTTCCACCAATCCAAGCCACACCACCAATGGTGGCACCAACAGCTCCCTTTGTAACACTGAAGATACCTCCAGTCACACGGGACAACATGCCTGGTTGCTGCTGTGGGTGATCTTTCATTGAACCTGTATGAAAGAAAATTTCATGAAACAGTCAAATATCAGTTGTTTTTGTTGTTTTTTAATTAAGCAACCTAAAAGTTTCTCACAATCAGGAGCTTGATTTACACATTTTTACAAATGTTGGTCCAATGCTAAGTCTTAGTATTTATTAAAAGAAATGCTTTATAAAACAGACAATTTTGCTTTCATAAAGCAGAATACTATTATAAAGATCTATTTTACATGTTTCGTTGATTTATAATTTTGTTACTAATACATAACTTTAAAAAAATATATTCAGGCCGGCGCCGTGGCTCAATAGGCTAATCCTCCACCTAGCGGCGCCGGCACACCGGGTTCTAGTCCCAGTCGGGGCGCCGGATTCTTTCCCGGTTGCCCTTCTTCCAGGCCAGCTCTCTGCTGTGGCCCGGGAGTGCAGTGGAGGATGGCCCAAGTGCTTGGGCCCTGCACCCCACGGGAGACCAGGAGAAGAGCACCTGGCTCCTGCCTTCGGATCAGCGCGGTGCGCCAGCCACAGCGCGCCAGCTGTGGCGGCCATTGGAGGGTGAACCAACGGCAAAAGGAAGACCTTTTTCTCTGTCTCTCTCTCTCACTATCCACTCTGTCAAATATATATATTCAAAAGAGCATGAAAAAAATCAAAGGATAAACATATTTATCTTTCATTTCCTTGATAAGATTCAATCATTTCTGAAACAATTTCACATAAAGCAGCGGTTCTCAAGGTGTGGTCTGATACCCCTAGGAATCCTTGACACTATTTCAGGGGGTTGACAAGGTAAAAATATTTTCTCAGTATTGTGAGGATGTAATTTGCCTTTTCTCTTGTATTCTGTCATGAGCCTACAGCAAACTTGTCGAAAAGTTAGATGATGTGCAACAGACTGAATGAGGCCACAGTTTCCAACAATCTTCTATGTTCCATTAATCTAAACATTAGAGAGCTTTTCAAAAACATATAAACATCACCCTGCCCACAATTTTTTTTTATTTTGGAAAAGTTACTTTTCATAAAAATGTGTTAACATGTCATAAGTCTATTTGGTTTTTTTATTTAATACTCAGATTGCTCAGTTTTTATTGCTAATATGATGACAAGGTCTGAGACCTCAATTTTTCAGAGTTTAAAAACATCCTAAAACCAAAAAGTTTGAGAACCACTGATTTAAATATATTTAATCTTTACTTTATGCATCTCTTAGTGACAAATTTAAAGAATTAATGCTATATAAAAACAGAATATTCATCTTTAAAATCGTATTTCCTGTCTAAACTCATTTTTATTCAGGGGGCAGGCATTTAACACAGCAATCAGGACACTGCTTGGGACACTCACATTCCATATAGATTGACTTGGTTAGAGTCCCAGCTCTGCTTCCAATTCCAGCTTCCTGCTTTATATGTACCCTGGGCGAGTGCAGGTGATAGCTCAAGTAGTTAGGTCCCTGCTACCCACAGAAAAGATTTAGATTGAGTTCTGGCTCCTGGCTTCAGCCTGCCCCAGGCCCAGCTGTTGTGGACATTTGAAGAGTGAACCAGTAAACAGTCTGTCTCCTGCCTCTCGATAATAATAATATATTTGTACTGGATCCTACTACAAATATTTCTTTGATTTCTTGATACAGGTCTTTTGTACACAGGACATAAAAACTAAACATAGTCCATCTTCCTCTGTACCCACTCCCACCCTTCACAAATGAAAGGATATTCTTACTTGTGAAATAAGACCATTACTTAAGAGTAAAAAAGTGACAGGAAAAGTCCTTATATAATAAAGTTAAATTGTATCTCCATACATCAGTATCTGAGGTATCTTATCAGAGACTAAAAATGTTTATTATTTTTGGAACATATTTACTGACAAAGTAAATAGGTTATCTGTAAATTTAATAGGCTTTAATTCACTAAGATATTTTTTCCATTCTTAGAGGCATACTTACCTTCTGGCGGCTCATCACTAAGGTATGATGGGACTTCTTGATTTTTATCTGCCTGATTCATGATCTCCTAAAGAAATCACATAAACATATTTCATTTTAAATTCAATAGGTAAGACTCTTATCAGTTTATTCAGATAACTTTTTAAAAGAATTATTTATTCACTTGAAAGGCAGAATTAGAGAGAAGAGGGAGACACAAAGAGAGCTGGTGAGCAACATCAAGCTTGTCCAAGTGCCTCCATCCTCTGGTTCATTCTCCAAATGGCAGCATCAGCCAGGCTGGGCAAGGCCAGAGCCAGGAGCTTCACCCAGGTCTCCTACATTGGGGTAGGGGTCCAAGGACTTGGGCCATCTTCCTCTCTGCTTTCCCAGGTGCATTAGCAGAGAGCTGGATGGTTGGTGGAGCAGCCTATATGGGATGCTGGCACTGCAGGCAGCAGTTTAACCTGCTGTGCCACAAGCTTACCCCTTCAGAAATCATTTTAAGATGCCTACTATAAGGCTACATACATTATCTTGTCTCTTCTACTTGAAACTGTAGTGTATAAGTACTTTAAATTATACCAATGGGCAAATCTTATCTGAAACACCAAGGAGTGGCAGTCACATTATAAGCCATCCACACTGTTACTGTGATACCTCGACTTACACTGAAATTACCAACTGAAAGTAAGTTGGAGGGGGGGGAGGTAGCAGAGAACATGTTAAGTGTTTCCTACAGAATACTTGTTAACTTAATTGTACTTTATTTCACAACAGGCTTCAAAAACTTCAAAAGTAAAAAAGGTGTTCTGAGAAACTTTTTAAAAATGACATCCCTCTTACACAGATGACACCTCAATCTGAATAAGTAAAAGGTTCTGATGACTTCTTTGCTATTCTCAGATCTTGTATGGAACACAGGTAGTAAACAGAATTCAAAATCTACTTTAAAAAAAAACATAAAATACTGTTTTGGTAGGGCAGAAAACTAGGATTGTGATCCTACTGGTCATCTAATTGTTTCCTAGTCATACATCCTTGAAGCCCAAGTGATTATATCTGTATATATTCAATAGATTTCAAAAAAGATGTTGTGATAACTAACACTGGAGTTTAATCCATTAGTTAAAAAAAAGACTGAGTACCTACTCTGGGCTATGGCAGTGATCAAAGAACCCCTGCCATCATGAAATGAACACTCCAGTGTGGGGTGGGGAAGGTCAGGTGGTGCTGAATGCTGTGGAAAACAGGAGAGGGAAGAGAGGATCTATTTAACTGATAAGTGTGTGACGGTGTCATTGTGATAATATCCCAAGAGAGAATGATAGGTCAAGAGTGCTCAAAGCAGAAGAAACAGCAAAAACAAAGGCCCTGGGGTGCCTGGAGCAGCAAAACAAACAGCTAAGGGCCAGCACTGTGGCATAGCTGGTAAAGCCGCTTATGATGCCAGCATCCCACATGGGCACTGGTTCAAGACCCAGCTGCTCCACTTCCCTGCTAATGGCAGGGATGACAGCACTGCAGGTGGCGGCCCTCAGAGGTTGGATTTTACCTGAGTAAGATGGGGAGCTAGTGAAAGGTCAGCAAAGGAGGTGTTTTTTTGTTGTTGTTTTTTAAATTTTCATTATTTAAGACAGAGAAAAGTGCTCCCATCTGCTGGTTAATTTCTCAAATTCCCATTAACAGCTGGGACTGGACTGGGCTGAAGCCAGAAGTCAGAATTCAATTCAGGTCTCCCACGTGGATAGCTGCAACTCAATTCCTTGAGGTTCCACCAACTGCTTTGGGGTCTGCATTATCAGGAAGCTGAAGTCAAGAGCCAGAGCTGGGAATCAAACCCAGGTACTCTAATGGGATATGTGGGTGTCTTAACCACTAAAGGCCTGCCCCCAGAATATGACTCATCATTTCTACTGCTACCACTTTAATGTGAGCCATCTAGGCAAATACGCTTACTTGCATTACTGCAAAATCTCTGATCTCCAAACTTCTACCTTTGCTCTCCTTGCACCTTGGCCTTGAAGACACATAACCTCCACTTCCATTCTGATGTCATCTCCTACCATTTTCTCTCTTGCTCATTCCATTCCTGCAACAGAGTTCCTTGTTTATACTTTCCTGAAAGGCTCGCCAAGATGTATACCTGGCTTGCTCCTTCCTTCATTCAGATCTTTGGGCAAACACTGCCTTATTAGAAGACTTTTTCTGGTCACCTAAACGAGTACCCTCTAAGATGATCTTTTTCAGCTAGCCCTGCTCTATTTTCTTCATAGTCCTCACTGCCACATGGTGTAATTCTTGCACACACGGGTCTTCAAAAATATCATGGAAGTGCAGATAACGAAAAAAAGTGTATATGGACTTTTAGGCACCAAAATAAACGTCTTTTAATTCTATTTTCTGTGAACTTTTTGAAGTCCCTTGTATGTATCTGTTTACCTTGTGTCTATCCCAATTAGACTGTTAGTTGCATGAAAATAAGGGCTTGTTTTTATTTACCATTCTATCCCCAGGGCTTTAATCAATTTCTGATAAATGGTGGGCAAATACTTTAATTTCTTATGTACAGAATTTAACATGAGAATGTAGTGTGAGATCAAGGGGAGAATCTAGGATGTCAGCTCCTTAGTGGGAGAGCAACTAGACAAATGTTGATGGGACATCAGAATAGAAACCACTTTTAAGAGACGAAGGACTTGTTTTTTAACAAGCTGAGATGCTTGTTCAGCAAGCAAGTGGATTAAAGGGGCCAGGGTTGAGATTCTGAGAGTGGTCTGAAGTGATACCTGAAGCCAGGAGGTGGGGGTATGTGATATGATCAAGGAAAACAGTGATGAGAAGAGGACCACAACCTCAGTTGGATTGCTCATATACAAGATGAGCAAAAAAAAAAAAAAAAAACACCACACCTGAAAATGAATAGCTAAATGAGTATAGCCTCATGGGAAACAAAAGAGGAATTTATAAGCTTTCTGGAAGACATAAACAATGGAGAGGTTAAAATAATTTATGAAGATCATATGATCTAATTTTTTAAAAAATACAAATACAAAAGACTGGAAGGAAACATACCATAGCATTAACCAAGACTGCCATTAGGCAATACATACAGCATTATGTAGTCACATAAATGTATACAAATATATATTTGCATATATGGATACATATGTAGTTAATATATATTTAAATTTTCTACCATAAATGCATTATTTTTATAATTAGCAAGAAAAAGGCATATTTTAAGCCTTGGAAATTAATAATATTCATAAACAAGGTATGTTTTAGATATTATTTTTGTTTATTTGAAAGGCAGAGCCAAGAGACAGATCTTCTATCAGCTGATTCACCCCCCAAATGCCCACAGCCAGGGCTAGGCCATGCTGAAGCCAGAAGCCTGGAACTCCATCTGAGTCCCAGGACCCAATTACTTGAACCATCATCTCCTGCCTTGCATGACGCATTACCAGGGAGCTGGATTGGAAGCAGAGTGGCCAGGTGAACCAGGTATTCCAATATGGGGAGCAGCAGCTTAACCCACCGCACAATGCCTGCTCCATAAATGATATTTTAAAAAATTATGCAGTTCATCTGGTCCTAGTCATTCTAGGTTTTTACTCACAGATGAAGTTAATCATCTAAAAACCAATATACTTGCATCACATAATGCTTTAAGAAAATGACATCACTGAGTAATTTTTTTATTCAAAAAGCAGAGCAGCAAGTTTGTGTTTTATTCAGTTACATCCTTGGTGAGGAAACCCTGAGAAACAGCCTAATGCACGATATTAACTTACATTAAGGGCATCATATTGCTAAAGACTGTTATCCACTCCATCTTGATACCTCCTAGAGAACTCCACATTAAGATATCTCTTTAAAGGTAATTATTCAGAAAATGTTGTTCCTCCCAAATATCTGACATGCTTTCTTTGGGGCCTGCATTGTGGTACGACGGGTTAAGCCTCTGCTTGCAATGCTCACATTCCAGATCAGAGTGCTGGTCTGAGTCCTGGCTGCTCTGCTTCCAATCCAGCTACCTGCTAATGTACCTGGAAAGCAGAAGATGGCCCAAGTATTGGGCCCCTGCCATGATGGAGTTCCCAACTCTGGCCTGGCCCAGCCCTGGCTATTGCAGTCATTTGGGAAGTGAACCAGGAGACAGATCTGTAATAAATCCCCCCCCCCCCCCCGCAAAAAAAAAAAAAGGCCTGCCCCTGGAATTGAACTTTTCAAATGTACCTTTTTCAAAGTGAGCAGCAGTATGCCAGGGGCACATATTTCACTGGATAGTAATTTAACATACTTTCATTTTTAAATGCACACACATTAAAAAGTAAAATAGAGGTGCTTGGGATTTTGTTTTTTAAGACAATTAGAAGCAATTCCATTCTTGCCTGGGGCTGCTTCTGGGTGTACTCTGATTTACTGGCTCTCCCTTGCCAGCCCAACCACTCCCACTCTGCCCTTAACATAGGAGTATTTCTATAGAAAGCTGTGAGATGTAGAAAGCTAGAAACTATTATATAGAAATAGTTATCTTTAAAATTTTTAGCAATAGTTACCAGGGGTTATCAAAAACGATGAAACAGCACATCTGGAATCTGGATAGGCCAGGCACATGTCTACGTAGGTACTTGCTATTTAGAAGGCCTTGCAAGTCCTAAGAAGCCACAGAGATTGATTTCTGTTTTGTTTTAATGTTTGTGTTTCTGGTACATCACTGGTCTTAAAAGCAAGTATGTAGTATTAAAATTTCTGTAAAACTCTTAAAGTAATAAAAATTGTATAAAAGCCACAAGTATTTGAGATATATTTTCCTGAATTCCTAATCTGAATACAACAATGCATTATCTTATAAAGGTATTTGCTAAAATCCTTACGTGTAAGTAGTGCCTTTGTATTCTTTATTCACATAAACTATTCCTGAATTCAACAGACATATCTGCTGAACTTTTCATGGTATTACCTGTTTATAAACACTACTTTTTATATTGAAGTCTCACCTTATCCATGGGGAATATGTTCCAAGAACCCCAGTGGATGCCTGCAACTGCAGACAGCACAGAAATCTATATATATGCAGGTGCTCAAAAAGTTTGTGGGAAATAAAATGAAAATGTCAACTTATTTTGGCACAATAAATGATGTATGCAAGGGTGCATCAAAAAGTTCACAAAAAGTATGAGACCTTTAACAAAGTTTAATTTCTATATTAGGCACAATAATAATAAAACAAGTATAACACAGTATCATCAAAGTTACAAGAAAGCAGTTTTCTCTCAAAATATCTTACTTCACCTTTTCACTTAAAGGATATGCTGTATTTTATAACTCATCTTTGACATATTAAAGTTGCCAATATCACTGTTCTTGTGCTTTGGGATCACTATTAAGAAAAGGAGGGTTCTTCAACACAAGCACTTTGACAGTCAACAGTCAGTGCAATAGTCCATCTAATAACCAAGACAGCTAAGTGACTAATGGGCAGGCAGGTGGTATATTCAGCATGGATGTGCTAGGCAGGGGGAGGGAATTGGGTGACATGAGATCTCCTTATACTATTGAGAATAATAACTTAAAACTTAAGTTTTTTATTCCTAGAATTTTCCACTTAATATTTTCAGACCTCTGAGGACTGCATTTGACAGTGGTTAACTGAGACCTTGGATAACTAAAACTATGGAAGACAAAATCCAGAATAAGCAGGACTACTCTATTACCACCCTGCTCATTACTGCCACTGCAACAGACCTGTTTTCCTTAGACTTCCTGATGACAAATACCACCCAATCTCCTAAAACTGTGGAAGGTAAATAATCAGCTAATAAAACTGAAAAGTATATATGTGGGACAAATACCAACTGACAGTAAAACTGTCAAAATGACAATTTGTAAACATCACACTCAAATGATATATTAAACAAAATTATTAAATTCTATCCCAACCACCTGCCCTCAACTCACTGCATTATTACTTCAGCATATACTTGAGCCCTGCTACCACCCTGTTCTACGCTGAAGATTTCATTGTGATTAAACACACAGAGGTACTACCCTAAACCAGTTTATAATCCAGTGAAACTGAGGACACTTTCCCAGCACTTACCAGTTTAGTCATTCATTCATTCAAGTAACAAAATATATCTGCTCTCTAGGAGCTCATTATATTCACAAGATTCTATTTAAAAAAACTTTCTTAAGGAATGCAATAATTGCAGACAATAAATAGTTTTTAGAGAAGAACAATTAACATTCCATGAACATAAATTAAGTTGTAGATTTTGGTGCTGGCACATCAGCAAACTATTACAATACCAATTGAAACTGGCTATAAGTGACTTCTTAAGAAATTGTGAAATATAAAACTTATTTGCTACAGACTGAATATTATGACTACCAATTCATTGGCAGTTACTTTTAGCTTTTAAAAAGGAGCAAAAATAATTCTTGTCCAGTACAACAGTTTCACAGACATTGCAGATGGCAAATATATTGAGCAAGAATTAACAACACTATTCCCGAGAGGGTAATTTTTTCCAATAATAGAAATAAGTACTGTATAAATATATTTTGAGTCTTCTTGCAGGTTTTTTTTTTTTTTTTGACAAAGAAGCTAATACATGGGAGTAAGGATGTGGCAAAGTTCCTATATATAGACTATATAGAAGAATTCATTTATAGTTTTTCTTACATAAGGAAACTGATACTTCTCACTGAATAACAGATTTTGAGGCAGCTCTGAAGGTGAACTGTTGTGCTCCATATTTTGTAGTTAGGCTTCATACAGTGTGTTAGTGTTGTTCAACTTCCTTCGGTACATAGAGGGGTGACACCCAAAGGAAATTTGTATCCTGTTTCCATTATGAAAACCTTTAAGTTTGGATATTAAAATATTACTGAAACCTACAAACAGCATTGATTTATCTGTTTTCCTCTAAATGATTCCAGTAGAAATAAGTAAACAAACACCATGTAGGAATCACTTAAATGTTTTATTCATATGTACCAAAGGAAGCTGACCAACTCTAACACACTGTATAAAGCTTAACTACAAAATACAGAGCACAACGGTTTACTTTCAAAGCTGTCTCAAAATCTGTTATTGAACAGTAAGTACCAATGTCCTTATGTAAGAAACAAGATATAAAAAAATTAGCTAAATTGTTCTACATATTCTCATATAGAAATTCTGCCACACCCCCATGTTTTAGCTTCTTTGCCAAAAAAACTGCAGGAAGACTCAATAACATATTTACACAGAACTTTCATACACCCACAAGCAGTGCACATTACAACAGCAGCTCACTGTTTTTAGCCTTCTCTGGTTAGTTTAGCTACTATACGGAACAAGCTACTTTTAAAAATGGCCCCTGCCTATTAAGTCAACAGCAAACTGACAGGAAATGCACAGAATCTGGCAAGAGAAGCAATCTGCCAGTGTAACTCAAATGTAAGTGCATATTCAGTGACAAGTAACAACTGTCAGTGTCAAAATGGCAATTTTTAAAAGCTGTACTTAAACGAAACATTAAGAATTACAGTACTCAGAAAACCATTATGCTTGTCATCTTCACTAACTCATTAGTTCTACAAATATTAGCATCCCTCCCAGGTGTCAGACACTCTGACAGGAGGTATCGCTGAGAACAAGAATACAAAGACCCTATTATTAAGGTGTTTATATAGAATCCAGTGAGGTATCTTCAGGAAGTAGGAGCAAATACTCAGTGACTGAAACAAAGAAAGGTAGAGATTTTTCCAGAGTTTAAAAACAGCCAACACGTATCTGCGCATTTACTTGCCTAATGTAGTAATCACTTAAAACTTTTCTAAAGATGCTTTCTATAAATGCACAAACTTTTAATGAACTTATTTTCTGCTACTTGTTAGGACAAAGACTAAAGAAATGAAAGTGGGAAAAGCCAAACAGGATGCATACGGTTTATTAAAAATTACTTAACCCTTTCTGTATAAAAAGCAGGCATGGGAGGGCTCACACACACATCTGTTAGTGTGATCATTATTCCTAGGGACCCCTGAGAGTGAGCACCCACACCAGTGGAAGTCTGAAAGGTTAAACAAAAGCATGTAACAGTAGTCACAGAGAGCAAGTAAAGTATTTTCACTTGGTATTAGCAAAGCGGTCACCAGGGCGTAATAAATCAAATAAGAACTCTCTTTTCTCTAGGTGTTCTTAACCCTTCCCAAGGGCTCCCTGACCAACCACTGATCCCTTTAGACACACCAGCAAGTCTCTGGTATTTTTTTTTTCCCCTTTAGCAGAGGGAGTGACGTGGCAGGAGGCAGAAAATGACCCTGGAGGCGCCGAGTCGAGGGCTGCGCCCGGCACCTCCCTCCTCCGCTCCACGCTGGACACCCAGCACACCCCCACTGCCGTGGGGTTCCAGAATTTCTATGCAAGGCGGGTTCGGGGTGGGGGCCTGGGCGCCAGTCACGAAGCTGCGTGCGCACAGCAGGCAATATTCATCGAGACTGGAGAAGACACCGCTGCACCTACGGGTGCCCCAGCGCTCCCGTCACCCCCCCCCGGCGCCGCCGACGCCCCCTCCCCATCCCCACACTTCGGACTGAGGGTGGGCGCGGGAGCCCCCCGACCCGGGAAGAACCCGAGAGGGCGGTTTATCAACAGGTCAGGAGTTAGCGCGGCATAGGGAGCCCTGCGCCCAGCGCCTCAGCCGCATCCCTCTCCCGGGCCGCAGACCCCTGCCCACGCCCGCCCCCCTAGCCTGACACCCAGGGCACCAGAAGCCCGGCGGGGGCTTCCACGGGGGTCCCCAGCCGCGGCAGGGGAGTCGGCGATGCACACGCAGGAGAAGCCCCGCGAGCGAACCCCCACCCGCCCCCAACTTCGCTCAGCCCCTCCCCCTTGCCCGCCCGGAGCCCCCGAGAGGCCCGGTGGGAGCAGCCAGGCCCGGGCGGGAGGAGGTGAGGTGCAGGGGAGCTAACGGGAGGAGCAGAGCACGGGGCACAGGCGGCCGCGGCGGCGCCCCCCGCCCGCCCAGGCCGACTTACTCACCGCCGGGGTCGCGGGCCGGCGCCTGCGGCTGGGGCCGGGCCGACAGAGCGCGCAGCACGTAGGAGGGCCGCGGCGGGCTGGGCGGCAGAGGCAGCCGGACGGCCGCGGGCAGATGCGGGCTTCGCAGGCTCTCCACAGGCTGCAAAGGCAGGAAACTGTTTGCGTTGGCGGCGGCGGCGGCGGCGGCCTCTGGCTGCGGACGTGGCGCCCGACGCGACCCGCCCCCTCCGCAGCCTCCTCAGCTCCCGCCTCCTCCCGCGGCTCCGACTCCGGCGCACGCGCGCTCGCGCCACCGACGCTCCCTCCCGCGCCCACCCGGCGCTCGCCCACCAGTTTCTCGAACCGCCCAGCCCTCCCAGCAGCACCCCGCGGCCACCTCCCGACCTGCGCACGCGCGCCGCTCGGGCTCCGCTCCCGCCCCTTGACCCCCTGGGTGTCTCCGCGGGAAGCCCCCAGCCTGCGGGCCTGCGCGCGCGCCTCCTGCCGGGGTCTCCCCGCCCCTTTCCCTCCGCCGTCCAATCAGGTCGAGCGAGGGGCTCGAAGGGAGCCCGGGAGACGCCTGCTCTGCGGTCCTGAGCTTTGTGGGCCGCGGCCGTCTGAGGTCGTCGTGCCGCCGCCGAGTTAACGGTCGTCGGAATCCAGAGCCTTCGTCCTGAGGAAGGTGGGCCGGTCGCCAGTTTCTGCGGCGTTTTCGTCCCTCAGGGGCCTCAGCCTGCTGCCCTCAGGGCTGACGAGCTGGGCCTTCTCACAGCTGCTCACGTCGGGGCTTCCACAGGCCCGGGTGACGGGGCGAGGAGAGGCTTGGCTTCTTTCCGTGTCTTTGGCTATTTTTGACTCTTCCCTGCCCTAAAATGGAGCTCCTCGGGAGTAAAAGCCCCTCGAGCCCATCGTGGTGACCCTGCGCTTAGTGCCAGGCGCGCCACGTTCGCGGGAGAGAAATCGGAGTGTCCAGTCGGGAAGAGACTAGGGAGTTGGGAGAGTGGGCTTTGCGCCGCTGACTGACGTGCAGTCTTCCCTGCCGGGGCCACCGCTTCACTGGGTGAATGCTGTAACTTTTCCTTGACTCTCTTTCCGCACCTGCGTGATGAAGGTGACAGCGAATCCACCTTGGGTTGAGAGGCTCAAGAGAGATGGATGGATGTGACCGTCCCCCCCTCCCCCTTCCACAATCTAATCAAGTCAAAACATGAAACCTCACGACATGTTTTCTCTAATACAAAATAATCAGGGAGGTGCAACTGAATACTAACTCAGGATGAGGCTCAGAAAAGGACATGCTATGTATGGGCCGGCGCTGTGGGCAGTAAGTTAATTCTCCGCCTGCAGTGCTGGCATCCCATACTGATGCAGGTGCTAGTCCCGGCCCGGCTGCTCCTCTTCCGATCCAGTTCTCTGCTATGTCCTGGGAAAGTAGCAGAAGATGGCCCAAGTGCTTGGGCCCCTGCACCCATGTGGGAGACCCAGAAGAAGCTCCTGGCTTCAGATCAGCCCAGCTCCAGCCATTGCAGCCGTTTGGGGAGTGAACCAGCCGATGGAAGACCTTTCTGTCTGTCTCCCTCTCACTGTCTAACTACCTGTCAAATAAATAAATAAAATCTTAAAAAAAAAAAAAAAAAAGACATGCTAACCAAAGAAAGCATCCTGAAGAAGCCTATTTTGATCCAGTCCTTAAATAGAATGGACTCATTTAGCCCACTGTGCTAATACTAGCTAGATAATTTAGTTTTCCAGAATTTAAAGAGGAAATAATCTTGTCACTTTAATATGTGTGTGATTGATTTCATGGGGTCTGTTGATTCAGTTCTGTTTACATACCATGGAAAGGGATGGGTACTTACTTTAGTTTTTTTGGTTTGTTTTCACAGAAACTTATGTCTTCAATACATTCTTAATGTGTGACCTTTGAAGGTTGAGAAGGCAAAATTAGTAGGTACACAATTACACTTTGTTTCTTCTTCCCCTTGCACTTTTTTTTAAATAACTGCCACACTGAGTGAATCAGGGATGTCACTCAGCATGAACATGTTGTTTGAACGTGAAACCCAGTATGAAACCCAACAACTTGGGTTTTTTTTTTTTTTTAAGATTTATTTATTTATTTGAAAGGCAGAGTTACAATAAGGTAGAGGCACAGAGAGAGGGAGAGAGAGGTCTTCCATCCGCTGGTTCACTACCCAGATGGCCACAAAGGCCAGAGCTGCCCTCATCCAAAGCCAGGAGCCAGGATCTTCTGGATCTCCCACACAGGTGCAGGGGTGTCGCTCCCCCACTTGCGGAGGAACGACACCAGACCCTGCGCTGTTCTCTTTGCCCGGCCCTCCCCCCACGAAGGGGCGGCACCCCCGCGGCTTCCATGGAGGAGTGGCACACTGCCTGCTGGCTCTCTCAGGGGTTCCTCAGATGTTCCTCCTGCATGTTGTCTCTCTCCTCCTTTATAGTCCTCTTCCACCAATCCCAACTCTACTGGCATTCTCTCCCCACCTGCTGAGCACGCTGCTCTCCTCCAATCAGGGGCAGGACAGCTCCTGCAGCTTGTTAGTCGAATTGGTGAGGCAGCTGTGTGGAAGTTGTTTACTCCCTCTCAGCGCCATATGGTGATCAGATGCATAGAGTTAGTCTTAGCAGTTCCAGTAGTTTAGTCTCGGTAATTTCAGTATTTGTCCTCAGTATTTATTTATCTCCCGGGCAATGGGCCCTGCTCCCCACACAGGGGACCAAGGACTTGGGCCATCTTCTGCCTTCCCAGGCATGGCAGAGAGCTGGGTCAGAAGTGGAGCAGCCGGGACTCAAAGCAGCACCCATATGGGAAGCCAGCACTGTAGGCCGAAGCTTTACCCGCTGTGCCACAGCCACACACCCCCACACACACTTCTTTCTACAAGAGAAAGTATAAGTGACTGACATAATTGTAGCCACTACTGAGAAATTTTGTATTTTTACCATTGTTAAAACCATAATTCACAGTGGTAGAATTTGTTTCACAATAGAGATATATGGGAGTTCTTTTGGGAAGTTTTGAGTTCACTGGAACCATTTGACTCTGCAAGTATAGATAGTCATGTATTTCTTATAGGTCTGAACCTGGTCATTTCTTATCTATCTGTTGCCTCAATTTTCTTACCTATAAAAATGAATAGCAGCACTCAGTGCCCACCCACTTCTAGGCCTAAATTGAGAATAAATATGTTTGGCATAATGGAATAATTTCTGTAAAGGGATGCTATCTTGAGTTGAGTAGCTTGGTGCAACAGAAGGAGCTCCAGGAAGTCAGGCCCAATCCTTCATTTTATAGGCTGAATGCTTCTCAGTTCTTGTTTCCCATTCTGTGAAATTCCTTTCTTAGATCATTAACATGAAACATTGCTGGATCTATTCTGAAAGATTTTGTAATATCTTAATGAGTCTTTAGTGCCTTCAGGCAATAGCTTTCTTTTAACAGAGTAAATTCTTAATATAATATAACATTTATCAATTGGCTAGTCTCTTAAATAGTTGAGTTTTCCTCTATCACACAGAAAGCCTCTTACCATATTGAAAAAGTGGAAAAATTAGAAGAACATTACTTAACAAGGTGAAGTAGTTTTAAAAATTTAAGGCCAGAGAAGCAAGCCAGAAAACCAGAAATACGAATGCAAGAAATAATTTATAGGTAGATAGTACAATTGAAGTGAAAAGGGATTTGGGATAATCTCTTCTTCAACTATGAATCTGTACTCTATCACATGTACAATAATAGTTTATTGTTGACTTGTCAGCTACTCAGCAGTCTTTCTATGTGGACTCATTTAATGACAAATCACTTGGTGTAAGGACCACACATTCTCCTGTATTTCACCATGTTTTCATGAATATAGTGCATTATTCTGGCATTTTGAAATGAGTTTGACAATTAATAGCTTTATATAGGTTACCACCCAATGTAAATAATTACACTTTTCTGTCCCCACTTTCTTTTTAAAAAGTTTATTTGAAAGACAAAGAGGCAGAGATCTTGCAACCACTGGTTCACTCCCCAAATACTTGCAACAGCTGGGGCTGGGCCAGGTGGAAGCCAGGAGCCAAGAACTTAATCCAGGTCCACCGTGTGGGTGGCATAGAACCTAACTACTTGAGTAATCACCTTTTGGCCCCCAGGGTGTGCATTAGCAGGAAGCTGGAATCAGAGCAGAACTGGGATTTGAACCCAGGCATTAAAGTTGACGTGTGGGCATCCCAAATGGTGTCCTTTTACACCGAACACTTGCCCTTTTGCCCACTTTATGACTGCTCTTTGCCTTCTCTGGCACAATTACCTAAATTATTATTGACTTTCCTTTCCCTGCCCTAATATCCTTTTTAATTTTTCCTGTGATGTAATCATACCTAAGATTTACTTGACACATACTCTTACCCTGTATCATCTCATTTCTATATCAGCAGTCCAAATGAGGCAACCACTGTTAATCTCCATATGGGGAAACTGAGGCACAGAGAAGTTACATAACTTATGTCAGGTCCCACAATTAGTGAATAGCAGACCCTGGAGTCAAACACAGTTTTGTCTGAATCTAAATCACAAGTTCTTTTTCTTTTTTATAATTTATCTGTTGGAAAAATTACAGAGAGAGAGAGCTTCCACCAGCAAGTTCATTCTCCAGATGGCTGCAATGGCCAGAGCAGAACCAGGATCTTCATCTGGGTCTCACACATGAGTGGCAGGAACCTAAACACTTGTGCCATCTTCTGCTGCTTTTCCCAGGCCATTAGCAGGGATCAGAAGTGGAGCAGCCTGGACATGAAGTGATGTCCATATGGGATGCCAGCTTTTCACTGTTCCATAACACAAACCCCAATCACAAGTTCTTAACCACTGTGTTCTGAGAAAAACAGTGAAATCTAGTAGGTGGCCTAGTGTTAGCAACCATGTCTAGGTGTGGCTAGGAGCTGGCTTGGCACAGCTAGGCCTTGGTATTCCAAAAGCAATTTGAGAGAACATCATCAGTATCAGATAAGGCCACTCCGTGATCTTGATTGATAGAAATGAACATAAGAATATAATTATGGTAGGAAATAGACAAAAATGTTAATGTTCTCCAAGCTGCCAAATGGAAAATACACAAAGAAAAAACAAACTTACATAAGCAGCTATTGCTTCTTTATCAATTTCAACTTAAGCCTCATTCTAATCTTTTCTCTTGAGATAAGATTAAAACAACCAATTATAGAATTACCTCTGCTTCCTTTCACTATCTGGTTTAGAGCATAAAGCAAAGTTCCACTTCCTTAAACCTTCTACAAAATCACATAACAAACTTAAGTCTTAAGTCCCTTTAACACTCTCTTTCTGAGATGCACATGTTTTAGAGTGTGTATTCTCCTTTACTGCAATGAATGATAAGCTCAACCCTCCCAACCACAGCTGTGTTACTGATGATGTTAGGCTGAAGAGCATTTGTAATATTTTCTGGACTGTTATATACTATTATATACCATGTATTGTGGAAAACATACTTGCCAGTCAAAAAGTTGGACATCATTTTGTAAAAACAACAACAAAAAACTTCAGTCCATCAATTCATAGGCAGAATAACTCAAAAGTGGATCATAAATCTAAATGTAAAATTATAAAACTTATGGAAGAAAACAAGGGAAAATCTTTGTGCTCTTGGATTAGAGGAAAATATTTCTTAGATTCAACACTGGTACCAGTGTTGTGACATCATGGGTAAAGCCGTGGTTCCAGCTGCTCCACTTCCAAGCCAGCACCCTGCTAATGGCCAGGAAGAAGCAGTAGAATATGGCACAGTGTTTGGGCCCCTGCCAACCACATAGAAGACTCAGATGAGGCTACTGGCTCCTGGCTTCAGCATGGACCAGCCCTGGCCATTACAGGCACCTAGGGAGTGAAACAACAGAAGATTCATTATCTCTCTCTCTCTCTCTCTCTCTCTCTCTCTTTCTCTCTCTCTTTCTCTCTCTTTCAAGTAAACAACTTTTTTTTCTTAAAGATTTTTATTTATTTGAAAGAGTTACATAGAGAGGAGAGGCAGAGAGAGAAAGAGAGAGAAAGAGAGGTCTTCTATCCGCTGGTTCACTCCTCAGTTGGCCACAATGTCCAGAGTTAAGCCAATCCGAAGCCAGCAGCCAGGAGTTTCTTTGGGGTCTGCTATGCAGGGGCAGGAGCCTAAGGACTTGGGCCATCTTCTGCTTTCCCAGGCCATAGTAGAGAGCTGGATCAGAAGTGGAGCAGCCGGGACTCGAACTGGCACTCACATGGGATGCTGGCACTGCAGGCGGCAGCTTCACCCACTGTGCCACAGCGCTGTTCCCCAAGTAAGCAAGTTTTTTCAAAATAAATAAACAAATAAATAAAGGAGATACACCACAAAAACTCAATCACTAAAAGAAGGAAATTTTACATTTACAAAAGCATCTACTTTTTGGATTATGCTGCCGAGAAAATGAAAGGCAAGCAAGATACCAGGAGAAAATATTTGCAAAACATAAAATCTGGGATGTGTTGCATCTAGATTGTATTAAGAACTCTTACAACTCATTAAGAACACCCACTTTTAAAATGTGGGCACAACTGAATGATCACTTCAACAAAGAAGATACATGAATTTCAGACACATAAAATTTCAGCACATAAAACATTGCAGAACATCATAATCATTGGGGAATGGAAATTAAAACCACAGTGAAGACCACTACTTGGTTAAAACAAAAATATTTCCAAATGCTGCTAAGCAGCTAAAACCCACAGACATTGTTGGTGGGAATGCCAAATGATACAAACACTTGGGAAAATGGTTTGGCAGTTTCTTACAAAATTATATATACACTCACTACATAATCCAGGAATCCCACTACTAAATATTTACCTGAGGCAAATGAAAACTTGTTCACACAAAGACCTGGACACATGTTTTATAATTGCCAAGGACCCTTTAATTGATGAGTGGATAAGCAAATGGTGATCTGTATATACAATGGAATCTACTTAGCAACAAAAGGAACAGTCAACTCTTACACACAAGTAAGTCTCAAATGCATTATTGCAAATGAAAGATGCAAAATTGGAAAGCCTACATACGTAAGATTTCATTTATATGACATTTGGGAAAAGGCAAAACCACAGGGAAAGAAAATGCCCTTGGCCTGCGCCACGGCTCAATAGGCTAATCCTCCACCTTGCTGCGCTGGCACACCGGATTCTAGTCCCGGTCGGGGCTCCGGATTCTGTCCCGGTTGCCCCTCTTCCAGGCCAGCTCTCTGCTGTGGCCCAGGAGTGCACTGGAGGATGGCCCAAGTGCTTGGGCCCTGCACCCCATGGGAGACCAGGAGAAGCACCTGGCTCCTGCCATCGGATCAGCGCGGTGCGCTGGCCGCAGCGCTGCAGCCACGGCGGCCATTGGAGGGTGAACCAACGGCAAAGGAAGACCTTTCTCTCTGTTTCTCTCTCACACTGTCCACTCTACCTGTCAAAAAAACAAACAAAAAAAAAAGAGAGAGAGAGAAAATGCCCTGATTGCCTGGTAAGTGGAAAGAATTGACTATAAAGAAGCTTAAGGGATTTGAGGGTAGGTGATAGAACTATTCTGTTTTAATTATGATATAGGTTACTGTGGGGAGCAACTCGGACTAGACTGTTACTGGAATTAAGACTTATTCTATGCATCTGCTCTCCCACAATATGGCGCTGAGAAGGGAGTAACAACTTCTACGCAGTTGCCTCTTGCCAACTTGAGTGATGACCTGCAGGAGCTGATCCTGCTCGTGATTGGAGGAGAGCAGCGTACTCGGCGTGTGGGTAGCAGAGTTGGGATTGGTGGAAGAGGACTATAAAGGAGGAGATAGACAACATGCACCAGGAACATCTATCTGAAGGAACACCTGTGCAGCCCCCGAGAGAGCCAGCCGGCAGTGTGCCGCTCCCCCGCAGAAGTGGGGAAAGTGGCGGGGGAACCGCCCTTCCACAGAGGTGGAAGGGTTGGTAGCCAACCCGGGAAGAACCAGCAGCAAACCCGGGGAGGGCCGAGCAGACAAAAGAACAGCGCAGGGTCCTGTGTCGTTCCTCCGCGAAGACAGGGAGCGACAGGTTACACAATATATGCATCTGTCAAAATTCATGGAACTGTACACCAAAGAGAATAGTTTTGGTGTATGTATTTACTTGTTTGTAAATTACACCTCAGTATTGATATGGGTGGGAGGATGTTGAGATGAAGTAGGGCCCCCTCACACCATGTATGTGAAGACTTGTCTAAAGGTGAGCAGCCAGTTAGACTCCTAATGGGTAGCACTTCACATGTGATTTTGCTCTTAGGTTTTTGCCTAGTTGCTTACCTGGCTATTGCTGCTGGCTAATTCATGCTCTCAGATTCTCTTACCTCTGAGTAACTGGTAGAGTAACTTGAGTGCTCCAGTTTGAGTCTGGTTTCCACCTCTAATTTCACCCATTGGAGTTGTGAGAAATTAAATATGCAGTAGTCTGATTCTGCTACAGGTTCTGCTTTTCCTCTGGGCTGTTTGGCTTTGTCTGGATTCTTTTTCAGTAGTCTCCTGCATTACTTGGAATTATAGCCTTTGTTTCTTGTAACCAGGAGAATCTAATGACAATGTGAGATACTTCTTTTACACCACTCATGTGTCCAGTACCAGTAGATAAAGTATATAAGTCTTAACCTTAAAGAGTTTACACTTGGGAAAGACAAGATGTTCACATTAAGCATTTACAAATCATTAAAGATCAATACAAATAAATACCAAAATGAGAAGTCAAAAAATGAGGACTGAGTGAAAGGAAAGATAGATATGCATATGTGGACTGAAATAAGCTTCCTGACAGGAAGAGGAAGAAATGATATTTTTACAAGTATTGAGTGCATATTTTCATCAGGACTTGAGCTAGATGCTTATAAATTGTCAGAGAGGAAAAATTACTATCTTCCATTCACATCCAGTATAGATGTTAGGACCAAGGAGGGGAAATAATAGTAAAATCTGTTGCATCTTGGAGCAAAACACCCAAAGTGGTGGGTCATTCAGCATAGGCATATTATCACTGGAATAGTTAAACGGAGGTTAGTGAAGCTGGACAAGGTAGAGCTTTATGAACACCCCAGAGCTGAACCATAGGATTTTCATTGTCATCTGAAACAGCCAAGTTGAAGTGGAAGAACATGGATGTTTACCATGAGAAGAAAGATTTAACTGAGTTGTTTTCTACATGACCCCACAACACAATTGGAATTGTTTGGGATTTGTGGGAACTACAAGTAATAGACTCTCTCAGTTTGGTTTGTGTTTGGGAACAGTTGCCCACCCTGTATATAATACTGTATGAACTGTGAGGAGATGGTTCCTCTTTTGCAAGTGAAGAAAATCTGAGGATAGTTAGTATCTTAAATTGGGTCTTCTATTACTGGGCCAGTGCTTTGGCATAGTAGGCTAAGCCTCCACCTGTGGTGCTAGCATCCCATGTGGGTGCCACTTCATTTCCCGGCTGCTCCTCTTCTGATCCAGCTCTTCTAATGGCCTGGGAAAGCAGTGGAAGATGGCCCAAGTACTTGAGCCTTGGCACCTGCTTGGGAGACCCTGAAGAAACTCCCAGCTCCTGGCTTCAGAAGGCCTGGCTCTGGCTGTTGTGGCCATTTGAAGAGTGAACCAGTGGATGGAATACCTCTCTCTCTGTCTCTCCCTCTCTATCTGTAACTCTACCTCTCAAATAAATAAGCTTAAAATTAAAAAATAACAGTTTTTTTAAAAAATATTTATTTATTTGAAAGACAGTTGCAGAGAGAGGTAGAGAGAAAGAGAGGTCTTCCATCTGCTGGCCCACTCCCCAGATGACCGCAGTGGCCAGAACTGCGCAGATCAGGAGCCAGGAGCTTCTTCTGGGTCTCTCACATGGGCGCAGGGGCCCAAGGACTTGGGCCATCTTGTACTGCTTTCCCAGGCCATAGCACAGAGCTAGATCGGAAGAGGAGCAGCCGGAACTAGAACCAGCACCCAGGTTAGTAGGATTTCTCCTAACTTGAAACACTGATCTCAAACAATTTGCAATGGCAAATGAGTTCTATAAGGGAATCTTTTAAAATACATCCTTTATATTCTCATTAAATATAAGGGAAGTAGGAACCAATCCTTTATCAGAATGAAAAGCAGCCAACATTAATCTCTCCCTACACCTAAAACTGTTGAAACTAAAATTTCTATCAGTGACTGCTTGACCCACTTTCCTTCCTTGCTTTCAGGACACACCTTTACATGGGTCTAATCATTTATTTGCTGGGAGAATAATTAGCTTTTCAGAGCCTCTGTGCTAGTTAACAGTCCAAAAATACATTAGTCCCACTGCCCGTTGCTTCTTAGAACAGATTATAGGAATGACAAAGTTTGAACAAGAATGTATCTATCAGTGCCTGTGTGCTAATGAAAGCTGTTACTTCCAATTTCCTTGGCTCATTGGTTTCTGGTAGGTTGCTTTAACCATGTGCTGTCTTCTCTCAAGATTTCTGGAGCCTTGAGCAGATTAAAACCGAGTTTCAAGGTTAAGTGACTAGGCAACATAATATGGCAATTCAAAGTCCAGGTGCTGTAACAAGACTTGCATTTTTTAAAAAAGATTTATTTTATTTGAAAGGCAGAGTTACAGAGAGGCAGGGGCTGAAAGAGAGAGAGGTCCTCCATCTGCTGGTTCACTCCCCAAATGGCCACAATGTCCAGAGCTGGGCCAGTCTGAAGCCAGGAACCAGGAGCTTCTTCCAGGTCTCCCATGCAGGTACAGGGACCCAAGGACTTGGGCCATCTACTGCCTTCGCAGGCCACAGCAGAAAGCTGGATTGGAAGTGGAACAGCTGGGACCCAAAGCAGGGCCCATATGGCATGCCAGCACTGTATGTAGATGGTGGCTTTACCCGCTACACAGTGCTGACCCCAAGACTTGGGTTTTAATCATGACTGCTACTTTAGTCAAGTTCCTTAATTTGTTTGGGTTTCTTTTCCATCTCTCTGAAATGTGGACTAGTAGTCCATGTCTTATAAGATTGTGGTGATGATTGAGTAACAATATATTACTCTGCTCATTCACAAAGTAAGTACTCAGTACATAGTAGCTGTCTGTACAGTGATAGACCATTGAAAGTACAGGGCTCAAACATTAGATATCTTAATTAAAAGTGATTCCTGGCCAGTGCTACGGCTCACTAGGCTAATCCTCCGCCTGTGGCGCCGGCACCCTGGGTTCTTGTCCTAGTTGGGGCACTGGATTCTGTACTGGTTGCTCCTCTTCCATTCCAGCTCTCTGTTGTGGCCTGGGAAAGCAGTGGGGGATGGTCCAAGTGCTTGGGCCCTGCACCTGCATGGGAGACTAGGAGGAAGCACCTGGCTCCTGGCTTCAGATTGGCGCAGCGCCGGCTGTAGCGGCCATTTGGGGGGTGAACCAATGGAAGGAAGACCTTTCTCTCTGTCTCTCTCTCTCTCACTGTCTTAACTCTGCCTGTCCAAAAAAAAAAAAAAAAAAGTGATTCCTTAGTGTGGGGAGCAACTGAGACTAGACTAAGTTACTGGAATTAAGACTTATTCTATGCATCTGCTCTCCCACAATATGGCGCTGAGAGAGACCAAACAACCTCTACGCAGCTGCCTCATCAGTTTGACTGATAAGCTGCAGGAGCTGATCCTGCTCCTGATTGGAGGAGAGCAGCGTGCTCAGCGTGTGGGCAGCAGAGCATGGATTGGTGGAAGAGGACTATAAAGGAGGAGAGAGACAACATGCACCAGGAACACCTGAGGAACATCTGAGCAGCCCCCGAGAGAGCCGGCCGGCGGTGTGCCGCTCCTCCGTGGAAGCGGGGAAAGCGACGAGGGGGTGTCTCCCCCTCCACGGAGGTGGAGGGACCAGCAGCTAACCAGGGACGGCGTCGTTCCTCCGCAAGTGAGGGAACGGCAGCTAACCCGGGAAGAGCCAGGTAAAAAGAACAGCGCAGGGTCTAGTGTTGTTCCTCCACGAATGGGGGAGCGACACCTTAGATTAAGTAGCTTCTATTACTCATTCAGTTATAGAATTTTTGCTTTAAATATTATATATGTACTTATTACTCCTAAACGTATATCTGTAATCCAAATTCCTGCCATGAATTCCAGACTTGTAGGTACAATCAGTTGTCTTTTGTACTTTTGCACTAACTAACATAACAGGCATTTCAAACCTGAAGTTGAAAACTGAATTCCTGATCTTGACCCTCAAATGTACTCCTCTAGCAGTCTTTCCCAACTCAGTTGATGACAACTATATCCTTATCATTGCTCAGTTAAGAAACTTTGGAGTTATTCTTGAGCTCCCTCTTTTTCCTCACATCTGACATTGAATGTTTGAAGACCTCAAATTTCTTCATCTACATACATTTTTTTTTTTTTTTGGACAGGCAGAGTGGACAGTGAGAGAGAGAGAGAGACAGAGAGAAAGGTCTTCCTTTGCCGTTGGTTCACCCTCCAATGGCCGCCGCGGCCGGCGCGCTGTGGCCGGCGCACCGCGCTGATCCGATGGCAGGAGCCAGCAGCCAGGTGCTTTTCCTGGTCTCCCATGGGGTGCAGGGCCCAAACACCTGGGCCATCCTCCACTGCACTCCCTGGCCACAGCAGAGGGCTGGCCTGGAAGAGGGGCAACCGGGACAGAATCTGGCGCCCCGACCGGGACTAGAACCCGGTGTACCGGCGCCGCTAGGCGGAGGATTAGCCTAGTAAGCCGCGGCGCCGGCCCATCTACATACATTTTATAAATCCGTTCTTCTCTCACTTGCTACAGCTGTTAGCCAGGCATCCATTATTTCTCACCTGGATTATTGCAATAGCCTCCTAACCAGTCTTATTTTAGCTCTTGCCACTTACAGTCAGTTCTCAACAAAGCATTCAGAGTGATTGTTTGAAAGTTTATGTCAGATTATGTCAACTCCTCTGCTCAAAATCTTGCAGCGGCATCCCATAAGATGAGTAAAAGCCGAAATCCTCTCAGTTCTATGAAGGCCCTATGGGAATTGTATTCCTTCCCCTTTCTGTGTACCTTGGGTGTATCTTCTGTCCCCTCATCTTAATCACTCTGCTCTAGCCAGGTTGGTCCAGTACTATTCTTCAAACTTGGCAAGCATTCTACTTACTCTTTCTTGCTGTTCCCTCTCCTAGAAGGCCTGGAATTTCTGACTTGCTACCTCACTTGTTTCAGGTCTGCTCAGATGTGGCTTTATTAGGGATGTCTTTTGTGAACAGCCTTCTTTATACTGAAAAACTTAAAGATTACCCTCTTCTGTGTTCTTTAAGAATTCATAGCTAAGGTACTATAAGAAAACAATGAAAAGATATTATAAAAAAAAAAAAAACATGAAAAAGTTCATAAAATTTCCTGAAGGATAAAGAAACTCAACAGGAAAAGGTTGACTCAGCAAGAGAATGACAACCCAGGATCCCAACACTAACTTTTAGAAATATAATGCTTCCATTGAATCTGAGAAGGGAAAATATACAGCAGAAGTAAAAGAACCCAGGGAAGAAATAGCCAGATAATAGGAGGGACAGATAGATGATGGGAGAGGTGAACCAGTAAGCATTAGATAGAACAAAATAGTAAGTAAAACCATTTTAAAACATAAAGACTATCCCTTTAATTTCTTTTTCTTGCCTAATAACTCTGGCTAAAACTTCGAGAACTATATTGAATAGCAGTGGTGAGAGAAGGCATCCTTGTCTGGTACCAGATCTCAGTGGAAATGCTTCCAACTTTTCCCCATTCAATAGGATGTTGGCTGTGGGTTTTTCATAAACTGCTTTGATTGTATTGAGGAATGTTCCTTCCATACCCAGTTTGCTTAGAGTTTTCATCATGAAAGGGTGTTGTATTTTATCAAATGCTTTCTCTGTGTCTATTGAGATAATCATATGGTTTTTCTTCTGCAGTCTGTTAATGTGGTGTATCACGTTGATTGTTTTGCGAACATTGAACCATCCCTGCATACTAGGGATAAATCCCACTTGGTCTGGGTGGATGATCTTTCTGATGTGTTGTTGCATTCTATTGGCCAGAATTTTATTGAGGATTTTTGCATCTATGTTCATCAGGGATATTGGTCTGTAATTCTCTTTCAATGCTGCATCTTTTTCCGGCTTAGGAATTAAGGTGATGCTGGCTTCATAAAAAGAATTTGGGAAGATTCCCTCTTTTTCAATTGTTCTGAATAGTTTGAGAAGAATTGGAGTCAGTTCTTCTTTAAATGTCTGGTAGAATTCAGCAGTGAATCCATCTGGTCCTGGGCTTTTCTTTGTTGGGAGGGCCTTTATTACTGTTTCAATTTCTGTCTCAGTTATGGGTCTGTTTAGGTTTTCGATGTCTTCCTGGTTCAATTTAGGTAGGTTGCATGTCTCCAGGAATGTATCCATTTCTGATAGGTTTCCCTGTTTGCTGGCATACAAGTCCTTGTAGTAACTTCTGATGATTCTTTTTATTTCTGTAATGTCTGTTGTTACATTTCTTTTTTCATCTCTGATTTTATTGATTTGGGTCTTTTCTCTCCTTTTTTTGGTTAGTTGGGCCAATGGGGTGTCAATTTTGTTTATTTTTTCAAAAAACAGCTCCTCGTTTGGCTGATTTTTTGTAATGTGTTTTTTGGATTCAATCCTGTTGATTTCTTCTCTGATTTTAATTATTTCTCTTCTCATACTAGATTTGGGTCTGGTTTGCTGCAGATTTTCTAGATTCTTGAGATGATCTTGTGTTAGACAATAAATTCTTAGCTACAACACCAAAATTCAATCCAGGGCCGGCACCACGACTCACTAGGCTAATCCTCCACTTGCGGTGCTGGTACTCCAGGTTCTAGTCCCGGTTGCTCCTCTTCCAGTCCAGCTCTCTGCTGTGGCCCGTGAGTGCAGTGGAGGATGGTCCAAGTGCTTGGGCCCTGCACCTGCATGGGAGACCAGGAGGAAGCACCTGGCTCCTGGCTTCAGATCGGCACAGCACCGGCCGTAGTGGCCATTTGGGGGGGTGAATCAACGGAAGGAAGACCTTTCTCTCTGTCTCTCTCTCTCTCACTGTCTAACTCTGTCTGTCAAAAAAAAAAAAATCAATCCAGAAGAGAAAAAAAAATATATATATATATGTATAAACTGGACTTAATCAAAATTTAAAACTTGTATTTCATAAGACACTGTTAAAAAATGAAGACAAAACTACAGATAAAATATTTGTAAATCATATTTCTGATAAAGGAATTGTATCTAAGATGCATTAAGAATCCACCCAGTAGTAGACAATCCAGCTTAAGAGTGAGCAAAATATTTTAATAAAGCATTTTTAAAGTATGTATCAATGACTAATAAGCATATGGGAAAATACAATCATTAGTCCTTAGGGAAAAATAAAACCACAATTTTACACCCACTAGAGTGCCTATAATTAAAAAGGCAACAGTATTGGCAAAAATGTGGAGAAACTGAAACCCTGAGCTATTGCTGGTAAGAGTATAAACAACCACTTTGTGGGTGGGTATTGTGGTAGAGTGGGCTAAGCAATTGCTTGGGACACCAACATCCCGTATGAAAGTGCTATTTGGAGTCCTGGCTAATCTGCTTCCTATCCAGCTTTCTGCTAATGCATCATGAGAGGCAGCCCCTGCCACCCATGTGGGATTTTCAGCTTTAGCCTGGCCCAGCTATGGCTGTTAGGGCTGTTTGCAGAGTGAACCAATGAATGGAACATCTCTCTTATTCTTTCTTGCTTGCTCTTTCAAATAGATGAAAATAAACATTAAAAAAAAAAAAAACTTTGGGATACAGTGTGGCTGTTTTTAAAAGATACGAACATACAGGTGACACAGCAACTCCAATACTAAATATCCACCCAAGAGAAATTGTATCTACACAAACACTATTAAGCAGATAGTCATAGCTGTATTATTCTTAATAGCCCAAAAGTAGAAACAACCAGAATGTCTACCAACTGATGAATGGATACAATACAGGATAGGCAATTCTCATGTGCAGGTTCCAGGTTTGCCTACTTGCTAACATTTATTTGTGACTCCAAACCAATAATGCTTCTTCCCGGTCATTTGTAGACATGCACATGTATAAAGTGACAAAAAATTTTAGTCACCCAACACGTGTTCCCACCTGAGGTTGCAGCAATGTTCTATCTTGTTTCAGCTCTTATACTGTAAACAACTGTCATTTTTACAGTCTACTTAGTGCCATATTTTTTGCATTTTTGTTGGAGATTTTATTATTTAAAATGGCATCTAAGCATCACAGTGAAATGTTGTGTAGTACTCTAAGGACAAATAGATTATGATGTGCCTTACAGAGAAAATGAATGTTTTGAAGAAGTTTCATTGAGGTGCACAGTACACTGCCATTGGTTGAGCTCAATATTAATGAATCAGTAAAATAAGCAAGATGCTTTTAAACAGAAACACAAATAAAACACAGTTATGTATTTTATATATTGATGGGTTGATGAAAATGTAGAATTTTGTAGTAACATAACCTTGTAGTTCTCCCAGAAGCAATGGTTCAGTATTTAATAACTCAGTGTTCACAGGTTTATAAATATGACTTGTAGGACTAATGAGAATCAAATGTATACTATACAATGAAGTACTGTTCAGCAACAAAAACAAACTACTGAAACATGTTATAACATACATGAACCTCAGAAACAGAATACTAAATATGTAGGGGGAAGAGAAATTGAGACCCAATGGAATGTGCCAGTTCATAAATATGGAATAAAATAATAATTTCATTATTGAACAAAAATATATTGAACAAAATATTTGCTAATATTGAACAAAAATAATTGGGCAAAATTACAATAATTTCATTATTGAACAAAAAGCAGAATGCATGTAGGTTTCCTACAAGTGGCTACAAAGCTAGAGGATTTTAGCTTTATTTATCTGGAATTAAAGATACAGTCATTATATATTATCCTAGTTTAATAAACAAGCAGTTTTTCAATTTGTGTCAGTATTTATACTGAGCTTTCTCTGACATCTTTTCATAATTCTTCAGCAGGCTAACTGTGATGTCTTGATTTTTGTGATTTGTCAGGTATACTCTGTTCTTCATGATTCTTTACTAATACTTTCTATAGTTGCCTCTGGATTGCATTCAATACCACATAATTAGTTGCAGGCTTCAGCATTCTTCAATAATGTTAGATAAGTTCAATTTCCCACATGTGAAAGAAGCCAGATGCAAAATACTACATAGTGTATCATATCATTTATGTGAAATGTCCACGAAGGGCAAATCTATAGAGACAGAAAGCAGGTCAGTGATTGCCTGGAACTGGGAGTAAGAATAGGGAAGGATTGATTTCAAATGGACATGAGGATAATTTGGGGGTAATGAAAATGACCCTATATTGGATTGTAATAGTTGCACAGCTATGTAAACTTACTAGAAATCACTACATTGTACACTTAAAATTGACATACTATATATTATACTTTGTTAACGATGCTTTCAAAAGGAGAAACAGGAGGCTGCCACTGCTCCTATCCTAACACCCTAGCTGAGTGACACCATCTTCACAGGAAAAGGTTTCTATATGTAAAATATTAGAACTGAGGAGGCCGGCTGAAGGAACACTTCATAAAGAAGTGAGCAGAACTGCATATGGCACAGAGACACTGAAAACCAGCAGAGAGAAAGACAGCAGACTGCCACTTACACTGCCTGCTACCTCTACCTGCCCACTCCTATCCTGGCTCCCCAAGCCAGGTAACACCATTCTGCCAGGAAAACTGTTCTGCATTAGAACTGAGCAGGGCCGGCACCGTGGCTCACTAGGTTAATCCTCCACCTGTGGTGCCGGCATCCCATATGGGCGCTGGGTTCTAGTCCCAGTTGCTCCTCTTCCTGTCCAGCTCTCTGCTGTGGCCCGGGAGGGCGGCGGAAGATGGCCCAAGTGCTTGGGCCCCTGCACCCGCATGGGAGACCAGGAGGAGGCACCTGGCTCCTGGCTTCGGATCAGCGTAGTTCCAGCCATAGCGGCCATTTGGGGGGTGAACCAATGGAAGGAAGATCTTTCTCTCTGTCTCTCTCTCACTGTCTAACTCTGCCTGTTTAAAAAAAAAAAAAACTGAGGAGACTGGCTGAGGGAACATTCAAGTAAAGAAGTGGCAAAAATTGCAAGTGGCACAGAGATTCTGAAGGTCCACAGAGATAGAGGAGTAAAGCATGTGGTCTGCTGCCATCACTGCCAGGGACACCATCTCGCCAAGAACAAGTAAGAAGAAAGCACCATGACCTCTGCCGCTGCCACAAAGGAACAGCCCTAACTATGGGAGAATTCCACAGTCCTCACTGACTTTAAATCAAATCTAGGGAACTGACCGAGGGCAGAGTGAAGAGTTTGCTTCAAAGAGAGAACCCACACTGCATCCCTCTGCTCCCAAAATGGCAGACTCATGTTGCTGCTGAGAAGCTGCTAACCTCCACCCTGTCTTAGGAGGAAACAAGTAGCTCCTCTGCTACAAGAAGCTCTGGAAGACAGCAAGGGCACTTTCCAAGGAAGAGAGCATGCCCCAGTGAATCCTGCATCCAGGGGAGCTCTGGGCACAAGCCCTGGAGCTACACTCACTAGGGACTCCTTGTGGCTCTTTAGGGCTAGTTCCCAGCAGTAGCCCATACCAATTACAGACCTGAGGTAACCCCTTCTTCAACTCTAACCACGGGGTGCTGGGGTCCCAAAGAACAAGCCCCAGCATCACCCTTGCATGTCCTATGGAAACTAGAGGCACTCCCTTCTGTACCCTGCAGTTCTGGGACTGTTGGTGGTTTAAAACCCCTGGAATCAGTCATACCTCTGAGATCTAGAAGGCCCTACCTGCATTCATCTGCTTCAGATGGTGATTGCCAATCTTTTTCCTGAAATAGCTGACACCCACCCTATGACATCTGGCTAAGAAATCCACTGTATTCTGCGGCCTGAGACTGTGACTATTAGTACTATATTTCCCAAGAGTCATCAGAACATACATTCCAAGACCTAGAGAAGACCCTACCTGCAAGACTTAGAATATGTCAAACAACTCTTTTGGCATGTAGGGTTTTCTGCTGAGAAGTCTGCTGTTATTCTAACTGGTTTTCCTATATATGTAATGATGTTTTTCTCCTATTGTCTGTTAGCAAACCAAATCCAGTACTACATCAAAAAGATCATACATCACTATCAAATGTGATTCATCCTAGAGTTGCAAAGGTGGTTTAACATTCAAGGATCAATCAACTTCATAAAGCACATCAACAGAGTGAAGAATAAAAACCATATGATCACCTCCATATATGTGGAGAAAACAATTGATAAGATTCAATATCGCTTCATGTTAAAAATATTCAGAATAAATTTGGTATAGAAGGAATGTAATTCAACATTATAAAGGCTATATATATATATGATGAACCAACAGCCAATATAATACTGAACAGGGAAAAACTGAATGCATTTCTCCTTAGACCTGTAACCAGACAAGGATTTCCAGTTTCACTCAGTATAGTATTAGAAGTGTTAACAATAGCAAATAAAAAAGAGAAATAAAAGGCATCAAAATTGGAAAGGAGAGGGGCTGGCTCTGCAGCATAGTGGGTAAAGCCACTGCCTTCAGCACCGGCATCCTATATGGGCAGTTGTTTGCTCTGCTACCTATCCAGTTCTCTGGTAATGGCCTGGGGAAAGTAGTAGAAGATGGCCCAAATGCTTGAGCCCCTGCACCCATGTGGGAGACCCAGAGGAAGTTCCTGGTTCCTGAGTTGGGGGGAAAAGTCAAGCTGGAGACATGATAATACTTTATTTCAAAGCACACTACAAAGCCATAGTATTTAAAACAGCATGTACTAACATCAAGATCATCACATAGATCAATGGAACAGAATGGAGAGCCAAGAAATTAATCCACATACTGATTTTTGACAAAGGTGCTAGGAACACACATTGGCAAGAGGATAGTCTTTTCAATAAATGGTGCTAGCAAAACTGGATATATGTATAAATGTAGAAGCATGGAGGCCGGGCTGTGGTGCAGTGGGTTAACGCCCTGGCCTGAAGCACCAGCATCCCATATGGGTGCCGGTTTGAGTCCTGGCTGCTCCACTTCAGATCCAGCTCTCTGCTATGGCCTGGGAAAGCAGTAGAAGATGGCTGAAGTCCTTGGGCCCCTGCACCTGCGTGGGAGATCAGGAAGAAGCTCCTGGTTCCTGGATTCAGATTGGTGCAACTCCAGCAAAATGGGGAGTGAACCATCTGATGGAAGACCTCTCTTTCTCTCTGCCTCTCCTCTCTCTCTGTGTAACTGACTTTCAAATAAATAAACTTTAAAAAAATAAATATAGAAGAATGACATTATATCCCTACCTCTTACCATATACAAAAATGAACTCAAAATGGGTCAAACACCTAAATGTCAAACTGGAAACTAAAATTGCTAGAAGAAACCATAGGGGAAACAATTCAAGACAGTGGTATAGGTGACCACATCTTGGATAAAACCCTGAGAACATAGCCAACGAAAGCAAAACTAGACAAATGGGATTATATCAAACTCAGAAGCTTCTGCCCAGCAGAGGAAGCAAAGTGAGGAGACTTCACTAGATTGGATGGAAGAAAATATTTTCTATTTAGCTGACAAAGGATTAATATCTAGAATATATCAGAAATAGAAAACTCAGTGACAATAAAATGACCAATCCACTTGAAATGGGCAAAGGATCTGAATAGACAGTTCTCAAAAGAAAAAAATGCAAATGGCCAACAAATACAAGGAAAAAAGCTTAGAGTTGGCACTGTGGCATGGTGGGTTAAGCTGCCACCTGCAGCACCAGCATCCAATATGGGTGCCGATTCAAGTCCCAGTTGCTCCACTTCCAATCCATCTCCCTGTTAATGCACCTGGGAAAGCAGTGGAAGATGGCCAAGTGCATGGGCTCCTGAACCCACATGGAAGACCCAAATGAATCTGCTGGCTTCTGGCTTTGATCTGGCCCAGCCCTGGCCATTGTGGCCATTTGGGGATGGAACCAGTGGATGAAGACTTCCCTCTCTGTGCCTTTGCCTTTCCCTTTCTATAGCTCTACCTTTCAAATAAATAAATCTTTGTTTAAAAAATGCTCAATATCACTAGTCATCTGAGAAATGCAAATCAAAGCCACAAGGAGATATCAACTCACTTCTGCCAGAACAGCTATTATCAAAAAGAGTAACATGCTGGTGAGGATGTGGAGAAAGGGGAACTCTTACATAGTGTGTTTGGAAATATAAATTAGTGCAGTCAGTGTGGAAAGCACTGTGGAAATATCTTAAAAAAATAGCCTTGGAAACTCATGACTGGAGCATAGGGAGATTACTGATGCCATAGACAGGAGTGTCAATTGGTAAAGTCAACAACAGGAGTCACTGTGCACTTACTCCTCATGTAGGATCTCTGTCCTTAATGTGCTGTGCATTGAGATTTAATGCTATAACGAGTACTCAAACAATATATTTCACTTTGTGTTTCTATGGGGGTGCAAACTGTTGAAATCTTTACTTAATGCATACTAAACTGATCTTCTGTAAAAAAAAAAAAGAAATTATCAATTCCCAACTTGACTCTCACTGGGATTAAACATGACAATAGGTCTGATCTGATTTCATCATCATTTAAAAAAAATCATCTATTATTTTTCACTTTATGTTTCTGTGTGGGAGCAAACTGTTGAAATCCTTACTTAATGTATACTAAGCTGATCTTCTGTATATTAAGATAATCGAAAATGAATCTTGATGTGAATGGAAGGGGAGAGGGAGTGGGAAAGGGGAGGGTTGTGGGTGGGAGGGACAGTATGGGGGGGGAAGCCATTGTAATCCATAAGTCGTAATTTGGAAATTTATATTCATTAAATAAAAGTTAAAAAAACTGGAAGTAGAATTGCCATATGATTCAGCAACCCCACTACTGGGTATATACCCAAAAGATAGAAACTCATTGTATCAAAAAGATACCTAATCCACCATGTTTATAGCAGCACTGTTCACAGTAGCCAAATGTGAAATCAACTAAGTTGTCCCTCCCTCATCAGATGAGTAGATGAATAAAATGTATGTATACAGGCTGGCGCTGCGGCTCACTAGGCTAATCCGCCTTGCGGCGCCGGCACACCGGGTTCTAGTCCCGGTCGGGGCACCAGATTCTGTCCCGGTTGCCCCTCTTCCAGGCCAGCTCTCTGCTGTGGCCCGGGAGTGCAGTGAAGGATGGCCCAAGTACTTGGGCCCTGCACCCCATGGGAGACCAGGATAAGTACCTGGCTCCTGCCATCGAATCAGCGCGGTGCGCCGGCTGCAGGGCACCGGCCACGGTGGCCATTGGAGGGTGAACCAACAGCAAAGGAAGACCTTTCTCTGTCTCTCTCACTGTCCACTCTGCCTGTCAAAAAACACACACACACACACACACACACACACACAAAAGAAGCGGGGCAGCTGGGACACGAACCAGTGCCACAGCGCTGGCCCCTTATTTTTGTATTTGAAAGACAGACAGAGACAGATGCAAAACATGATAGCAGGAAGTTGGATTGAAAGCAGAGCCAGAACTCAAGCCCAGGAACCCCAATGTGGAATATGTATTTCACAAGCTGTGCCTTAGCGCAGGGGCAAAGCCTGCCCTCTCAACATCTTTTTTTTTTTTTTAGCTCTAAATATATATATATATATTTTTTTTTTTTGACAGGCAGAGTGGACAGTGAGAGAGAGAGAGAAACAGAGAGAAAGGTCTTCCTTTTCCGTTGGTTCACTCCCCAATGGCTGCTGTAGCCAGTGCTCTGCGGCCAGCGCACCGCGCCAATCTGAAGCCAGGAGCCAGGTGCTTCCTCCTGGTCTCCCATGCAGGTACAGGAAGGACCTGGGCCATCCTCCACTGCACTCCTGGGCTACAGCAGAGAGCTGGCCTGGAAGAGGAGCAACTGGGACAGAATCCGGCACCCCGACCGGAACTAGAACCCGGTGTGCTGGCGCCGTAGGCAGAGGATTAGCCTAGTGACCCATGACGCCAGCCTCTAAAAACTTTTTTTGGGGGGATTGCGGTGGGGGAGTGCTGTGGCTGGGCCTCTACAGCTGTGTGTAGGCTGGGCCTCTACCTGTACTGCCAGTATCCCATATGGGTGGCAGTTCATGTCCTGGCTGTTCCTCTTCTTATCCAGCTCTCTGCTGTGGCCTGGGAAAGCAGTGGAGGATGGCTCGAGTGCTTGGACCAAGTGCACTACGTGGAAGATTCAGAAGAAGCTCCTGGCTCCTAGCTTTGGATTGGAACCTATCTCCGGCCATTGTGGTCATTTGGGGAGTTAACAAGCAGATGGAAAACCTTGTTCTCTGTCTCTCCCTCTTTCTGTAACTTTACCTTTCAAATAAATAAATAAATGAATAAAATTTAAAAAAAATTTTCAAGACTGTTTTTTAGAAAGCTTTTATTTAATGAATACAAATTTCATAGGTACAGCTTTAGGAATATAGCAGTTCTTTCCCCCATACCTGCCCCCCCACCCCTACTCCCATCCTTCCTACTGCTCCCTCTGCCATCCCATTCTTGATTAAGATTCATTTTTAATTAACTTTATATACAGCATACCAACTCTATACTAAGTAAAGATTACCACAATTTGCACCCACACAGATACACAAAGTACAAAGTACTGTTTGAAAACGAGTTTTACAGTTAATTCTCATAGTACAACTCATAAAGGACAGAGGTCCCACATGGGGAACAAGTGAACAGTGACTCCTATTGTTGATTTTACAATTGACACTCTTATTTATGATGTCAGTGATCACCTGAGGCTCTTGTCATGAGCTGCCAAGGCTATGGAAGCGTTTTGAGTCCACAAATTCCATCAGTATTTAGACAGGGCCATAAGCAAAGTGGAAATTCTTTCCTCCCTTCAGAGAAAAATACATCCTTCCTTGATGGCCCCTTCTTTCTACTGGGATCTCACTCACAGAGATCCTTCGTGTAGATAATTTTTTGCCACAGTGTCTTGGCATTCTATGCCTGAAATGCTCTCATGGGCTTTTCAGCCAGATCCAAATGCTTTAAGGGCTGATTCTAAGGTCAGAGTGCTGTTTAGGGCATTTGTCATTCTATGAGTCAGCTGTGTGCACTGCTTCCCATGTTGGAATATTCTCTCCTTTTTAATTCTATATATTGTTATTACCAAAGCCCTTGATCTTATTTATGTGATCTCTTTGACAATCCTATCTATGTGATCAATTACATACTTAATATGATCCCTTTAACATGTAAGATGGCATTAGTACCACCCAGCTTAATGGGGTTTGGAGTCCCATGGCAAATTTTTAACTGTACCCTTAGGGGTAAGTTCATGGGAATGTATGCCAAACTGTACATCTCCTCCCTCTCTTATTCCCACTCTTATTTTTTACTGGGATCTATTTTCAATTGGATTTAAATACCTATGAATAATTCTGTGTTGAATAAAGTTCAACCAATGGTATTAAGTAGAAAAAGAAAATAGTAAAAAAATAATAGACTATTACTTGACAGTCAAGACTGTTGGCTGTTTCAGGGCCAGCATTGTAGCATTAAATGAGTAATGCCACCTCTTGTGATGCGAGCATCCCATGTGGGCACCAGTTTGTGTACCAGTTGTTCCACATCCGATCCAATTGCCTGCTAATGGCCTGTGAAAGCTCATCCTCAAATGTGATTTTTATATGCTTTTCATGGAAAGTTTAAGTGAATACTTAATTATATTGAATAGCTCTTTGGTAGAATTTCCTTATGAAGCTATATACGTAGGGGCGGCACTGTGGCATAGCAGGTAAAGCCGCCGCCTGCAACACCAGCATCCCAGTGGGCACTGGTTCCAGTTCTGGCTGCTCCGCTTCTAATCCAGTTCCACATTAATGTGCCTGAGAAAGCAGAAGAAAATGGCTCAAGTCCTTGGGCCCTTGCTACCCTCATGGGAGACCCACATGAAGGTCCTGACTCTTGGCTTCAGCCTGGCCCAGTGCTGTCTGTAATGGTCATGTGGAGGGTGAACCAGCAGATGGAAGATCTCTGTCTCTCCCTCTGTCTCTGTGTAACTCTTACTTTCAAAGTAAGTAAAAAAGTAAATCTTTTAAAATAAATAAATAAATGAAAATTGTGAGGATAATACACAAAAGCAAACCATTGTTTCTTTAAAAACATTGGAGAGTCAAAAACATAGCCTCTTCCCAACATTTATCTTTGTTTACAAATACAACAGTAGATGGTAAATCCTAATGTCTCAACAGGTTGCTTACTGTGTGTGATATAAGTAAATATTTGTGTTCTCACATATGTCTCAAGCCAAATTTTACAGTTTAAGTTAAAATAAACAATTACAATTACACTTAAGTTAAACTAGACAATTACAATTTAAGATAAAATAGACAAATACACAATTTACATGTGTTAAATTTGTCATTTGAAAGCTAAGTAAAACTCAAGTTTGGGAAAAAATATGAAGAACTTTGTGGACATGCATTAGAATTCAAGTTTACAAGAATTCTTTTTTTCAAAAACATAGTATTTATCACTGAAAAATATTTAAACATACAAAGTAATGACATGTTTTCCTCTCACTTTTTCCTGGATGAAGGCATTGCCACAATTTGTCACTGAAAAACAGATACTAGTTTGTTGCAAATAATAAACTTAACTCTTGCATTAACTAAAGGCAGAGTTGGTAATTTACCCCAAAGTAGGACAATCATAGTTTACATATGTTTTAACCTGGATTTGTATTTTAATGTTAATTTCCATAAATAGTAGTTGAGAGCTGTATGACCCATTTAGCTAAAAATAAGACAGATCAGGTAGAAGAGGTTTACTAATCAAAAATTAAGAATTAAAATGAGCACTGGCTAATGGACTCAACACCTGACAATAGATACTGATAGTTTCTAAATGTGTATTCCTAATTATAACTCCAAGAGGTCCATGTTTATTCTATAGGTAAAGTAATCGTGTGTTTAAATTATAACACAATTATTTTCAAAAGTGTGTTTCTTGGGGCCAGCACTGAGGCATAGCAGGTGAGGACACTGGCTGCAGTGCCGGAATCCCATATGGGCACTGGTTTGAGTACCGGGTGCTCCACCTCTGATCCAACACTCTGCTATGGCCTGGGAAAGCAGTAGAAAATGGCCCAAGTCTTGGGCCCCTGCACTTTTGTGGGAGACCTGGAAGAAGCTCCTGGCTCCTGGTTTTGGATTGGCCCAGCTCTGTATTTTGCAGCCAACTGGGGAGTGAACCAGCAGATGGAAGACCTCTCTCTCTCTCTCTCTCTCTGCCTCTCCTCTCTCTGTGTAACTCTGACTTTCAAATAAATAAATAAATAAATCTTTTTTTAAAAAGTGTGTTTAGGGAAATAGTGATTATAGAAAAATACTTGAAATAATTTGCCAATGAAGTTGAGTCTAACAATAATCCACACCAACTTAGATTTTAAGTATATAGTTTCTTTTTTGTTAAAAGATTTTATTTATTTGAAAGGCAGATTTACAGAGAGAGAAAGAGAAAGGAAGGATGAGAGAGAGAGATCTGCCATCCACTGGTTC